ATCTGGGGAACAGTAGGTAAACCGGAGGCTGGTGGCCAGTTCTGATGAAAATTCCACGAAGAGCCACCGTGGTAAAATAATTCGTGTTGCAGGAGAAAACCGTAATGCCATTACGCCTCTTATCTAGTTTCTGGTCGCGCGTCGACACTTACAAGGTGCAAGGAATCCATACCGCGTCGATAAATCTTAATTGCTTGTTTCTCGTCGATGTAATTCTCGATTACGATCGACGGGAGAAAGGTTACATTGTAGAACCCCGGTATCCGTGCCCGCGGAACGGACGATTGAAAAATCGAATGAAATTAAAACGAAATGAAATTACGCTTTCCTGTTGTACGGAGCACGTCGACTGGAACTAGCTGTAATTCTTGTTTCGTTGCAAATAGAACGGGGCGACCGGGGGGAAAAGTTGAACGGTGCAACAAGGTCTGTCAGGCCTATCACTTTTTTATTGGATCAACAATCCACCGTTGGTGTGCAAATCAAATTCACCCTTCTGAGAATCAAGCTTTCCTACAAATTGCAAAAATTCGTAAATATAGCTAAATATATAATGAATGTATCTACAAAACATGGAATTGATCACTCTTGAATACCCCGCAAAAAAAAATTACAAAGAAACATGTATTTTTCGTGCTTACAAGGTAGAATGGTCCCTGAAACCACCGTGATAAAAATAAAATAATACACTTTGAGTGCCAGCTCGTTACGAGTTAATATAATTTGGAAATGCCTGAATCGTCTTAAACAAGTCGATATTCCGAATTACGCCAAGAATTAATTTCCCAGAAAAATAGATCTCGTTATGTCGATAAACTTGTTTGTACCGTTGTGTAAAGTTGAACGGTGCAACAAGGTCTCTGTCAGGCCTATCACTTTTTTATTAAATCAACAATCCACATGCAAATCAAATTCACCCTTCTGAGGATCAAGCTTTCCTATAAATTTGTTTTTTTAAACCACCGGGATAAAAATAAAATAATTCACTTTGAGTGCCAGCTCGTTACGAGTTAAATCACATTTGCATCCCCCCTGCAAGGTTAATATGATTTGGAAATGCCTGAATCGTCTTAAACAAGCTGATATTCCAATTACGCCAAGAATTAATTTCCCAGAAAAATAGATCTCGTTATGTCGATAAACTTGTTTGTAAAGTTGTTGTGTAAAGTTGAACGGTGCAACAAGGTCTCTGTCAGGCCTATCACTTTTTTATTAAATCAACAATCCACATGCAAATCAAATTCACCCTTCTGAGGATCAAGCTTTCCTACAAATTTGTTTTCTTAAACCACCGGGATAAAAATAAAATAATTCACTTTGAGTGCCAGCTCGTTACGAGTTAAATCACATTTGCATCACCCCTGCAAGGTTAATATGATTTGGAAATGCCTGAATCGTCTTAAACAAGCTGATATTCCAATTACGCCAAGAATTAATTTCCCAGAAAAATAGATCTCGTTATGCCGATAAACTTGTTTGTAAAGTTGTTGTGTAAAGTTGAACGGTGCAACAAGGTCTCTGTCAGGCCTATCACTTTTTTATTAAATCAACAATCCACATGCAAATCAAATTCACCCTTCTGAGGATCAAGCTTTCCTACAAATTTGTTTTCTTAAACCACCGGGATAAAAATAAAATAATTCACTTTGAGTGCCAGCTCGTTACGAGTTAAATCACATTTGCATCCCCCCTGCAAGGTTAATATGATTTGGAAATGCCTGAATCGTCTTAAACAAGCTGATATTCCAATTACGCCAAGAATTAATTTCCCAGAAAAATAGATCTCGTTATGCCGATAAACTTGTTTGTAAAGTTGTTGTGTAAAGTTGAACGGTGCAACAAGGTCTCTGTCAGGCCTATCACTTCTTTACTAAATCAACAATCCACCGTCGGTGTGCAAATCACATTCACCCTTCTGAGAATCAAGCTTTCCTACAAATTGCAAAAATTCGTATATATAGCTAAATATATAATGAATGTATCTACAAAACATGGAATTGATCACTCTTGAATACCCCGCAAAAAAAAAATTACAAAGAAACATGTATTTCTCGTGTCTACAAGGTAGAATGGCCCCTGAAACCACCGTGATAAGAATAAAATGAAATACTTTGAGTGCCAGTGCGTTACGAGTTAAATCACAATTTGCATCCCCCCGCAAGGTTAATATAATTTTGAAATGCCTGAATCGTCTTAAACAAGCCGATATTCCAATTATGCCAGGAATTAATTTCCCAGAAAAATAGATCTCGTTATGTCGATAAACCTTTTCCATTATCGTTTCTGTTCCACCTCCAGCGAAATAGGCGACCCTATCCCCCGTTCTCTGGACGCGCCCTGTATAAATTGCGCGGTGTCCGGCACCCCCTAACGTAATTGCACCCTTCAACGGCACCCTGACATTTTGCAGACCGCATCGATCGGTCTACCTGATCTCCAGGGCTAATTTACAATCTCCCTTTTTGATTTGCGACGGTGTATGCAGTCCGATAGAGGAAACGCGTGCTCGCGTAGAACGCGCGCGTAGTTCTATCACGGACGAGCCTAGTCACGTAAGGACAACGCGGATAGGATGACGAGTATCGGTCGGGGAAAAAATCGCGAACACGAAGAGAGTCAGGTCCTCTTTTTGGACATGCGGTCACGGTGACATCATCGCCGGCAACGTGATCGCCTAATGCAAAATGGTTCTGCGGTTTTCAGGCACGTCCGTTATTCTTTCGCGTACGTGTACGCGGGCGTCGCTTGAATCCCAATGGAGGGACAAAGACGTCGCGACGCGCGGAAGGGAGAGAGGCGATCTTGGGATTTTTTTCTATTTCGCAAGACCTCCCTGACGAAGCCGCGGCGCGGGTTCTTGCGTCGTGCCTTTATTGCGTTTACTCGAATGCCTGGTTTATGATGCATTGCGTACTGCAGTTTCTTCCCATTCACCTTGAGCACCGGACGTGCAGACCGGCTTTCAGATGTCCTTCCCTTTGTCCGTCAAAACGGAAAGGAGGGGAAATGAAAAATCGAAAATGCTACGAGATCTTGCTTGCTCCTTTCGTTCCATTTGAAATCGTTCGAAATGATGACGTTTTAAAATTAATCGAAGATAACCGTAGGTTTTCAATTCTTCGTGCTTTCCAATCAACCGTCAAGGTTGACTTTCTGGGCAATCATCTCCCAGGGGGGAAACTCAGTCTCAATTCACAGTGTTCGAAAAGGGTTAGGAGTGTCCATGGCGAGAGTAAATTGAGCAATGGGACGTCGTGGCGTCTTTCTAGGCCGTTGCTAAGGGTGTCGCGATGTCGTCGACTAGGGGGGGTGCAAGCTAAGTAGAAACAGAACTACCGGCATGCGGTGGTCAGCCATTAACCTAGATTCATGGGTCATTCTCGGTTTAATCATACCTCTTATTTGATATAACGGCATTGTTCCTTTCGAGCAGCCTTGAATAAATACTTTCGAGTAACTCGCTAATGCAACGTTATGTTAATTGTCGTCTGATACCGCGAATGAACGTGGAAGAGTTAAAACTTTGCAGATTTATAAAACAACCAAAAGTAAGAAATATGTGATTTCAGCTACCTCTAAATGCACAACGAAGTTTCATTATCCTCGACAAAGACAATTGTCTCGAACTAGGACTTTGGTGTTCAACCAGTTTCAAATTTAATGATAACTGTTACAAAGGGACCAGCGGTATCGCACGATACTGTTGGAATACTCCTGCGTTTGATTCCGCGTTACAACCGCCTTGGTCGTCTAATGTTCGTCGCCGAACGCAGAACTTAATCTGGTCGCGCGGTGAATGTTATCGACGCGAAACAAAGGGTTAAAGGTACCGTTCAAAGCGACACGAGATATTCGGACCGCTTTCAAATTTACTCGGACGTTATCAAAGCCCATTCGCCATGCTCTAAATCCCGAATATCCTTTCAGACTCGAAGCCGGGCGAGCCACCCTCGGATCGAGCATAAATTCACGAGGCCTGCAATAAAGGATACGCGAGATTTCGAGAGTCGACAACGGTCTGAATACCGGCTACCGAGTTTCGCCCGGTCAGAAGTGGGTCAAATCGTGCTTTTACCCCGAGTGTCCGTAACGAAATCAAAAGGCAACGAACGAATCGCCGTGCAACGGTTGACAACCGACGTCCCCGGCCGGTTCCATGATCCATATTTTTTCTCTGATAAGGGCGTGGTTTCTGGTTAAAATCGAACGGTGTGTATAACGGGCCGGACTGGGAGGTCGACGTGCCTGAAAACGGGGTAAACTGGGCGCAGACACGCAGCCGAGGGTGTGGACCTCTTATTTCGTTCGTTCTACCGTTTCGCTCCTGTTCTTTATTATTCGGTTAACCGTCCACTAACGATACTCGCGTACAGCACGTGAAGTGCCGGGAAAGCATTGTTGGAAACGGCGTTATGGGGCCGGGGAGAGTATTATTAGAAAACGGTGTGCTTACATACGACTGCCCTGAAATTAAGCGCATGTCGTGTACTAGAAATCTAATTTCAACCTCGTGCTCTCTGCCCCTCCTTCGACGATCGTTTGAGATCCTCGTAAGAAATAGATCGAGAATACCTGCCGAAAGAATTGCTCGCGATGGATCGTGGATAGGTCAGTTCTCGATACGAACGTAACAAACACTCTGGTATCGGAAATGATGCAATTTTTTTAATAATACATAAATGATTATTAGCATTGAATTCCTCTTTATATCGATGTTGATCTCTAATTACCAGTGAAATCCGATTCAGAGGTTCTCCCCAGGTATCGACCGTGAATCACTCGTGTTCTCGTTCGTTAGAAATTCCTGCCTTTCTCGGTTTCTATGCTAACAAGGCGCGCAAAAGTGGCGATGCGCTAACGAAAGGCCAAGAATTCGACGTCGTTTCGCGGCTAAGCACAGAAAGTGAACGTTGCCAACGCAATGAAACGTGACTACCGATCGCCGTGTTCCCCGGTACACGAGTTGCTAATTAAGCGCGAATGTCGTTCTTTTGTTCCAGCTTGGTGCAAACCGGCCAAGAGCAACGAGGGCGTGAATTATAGCGACGACGATCCGCCGCCCGATTATAACGACGACGACACGGCCGATGATAATGATCCTGGTTCCATCGAGGAACCACCGCAGATCGTGTCCAAGCCGGAAAGCATAAGAGTCAGAAACGGAAGTACCATCTGGCTGCCCTGTCTCGTCAAAAATGCGGGTGAGTGAACGAACCTTCCACTATTCCAACTATTCCCTCCATTCCTAATCTTACAAGATCACAGAATACACTTCGAACAATTAAATCCATTTTCGATTCGAAAAAATTCTATTCGTTACGAAATATGACATAAATTATTTTTCTTTCATTTTAACACTTTAGCTGCCACGTCAAGACTTTCTCACTATGGAACTAAAACAATTTATACTCTAAAATTAAAATTGAAATGTTAAATTTTGTTGATTACGAGAATAAGTACCAAAGACAAATTTTAAGTTATGCAGTTTGCAGTTATTTGAAATCAAAGTTTTGATGTGGCAGTCAACGTGTTAATAGGCCATCGTTTAGCAACGAAGCGGGTAATTGAAATGTTCGAATCGTTGCAGATAATTTTGCGGTTACGTGGAAGAGGAACGACGAGACCTTGTATCTGGACACCATCGCGATGACGGTGGACAGCGAGAGGATCGTTCGATTGCCAAACAACACGCTGGTGATCCACAATGTCACGACCAACGATACCTCGAAGGATTACGAGTGCAGTATTCTTCAGAAATCGAGCACAGTCACGATCAAGCACAGAGTGCTGGTCGAGGACGCACCGGCCCCAGCCCCCCACAAGCCACGCATACGCGTCTTCCCCAGGAAACTGGTGGAAGTAAATGCCGGTGAAAGCGTCACCCTTGGCTGCGAGACGAGGATACAACCCACGCCTGAAATTAAATGGTACCGAGAGGTAAAGCGACATTTTACAACCGATCGGAGCTCACCGATACGCCATTTTGTTACACGAAACATCGAACTATCCTATAGCAGCGACGGCGAACCTATAACCCACATGTTGATCATGGTATCAACCCCATTTGCATCAATTTATTGACGTCGATCTTTACATCTTGCTCTTCACTTGCAAAAAGATTTCATCCTCCCCCTTTCCAAGTGACCCACGAGCTAGTATCAAACGAAACAATGAATTTGACCCATTTTTCAATAAGGTTCGCCATCACTGTCCTATAGGGAACCCCTTGAAAGTTATGAAGCAACGTTTGTTAGATGGAGTTGGCAATAAAAAAAGAAGCAGAGTTTAGAAATTTCACGTTTTCTCGTAACAGAACGTGAGGATCCACGCGGACGAGATGCCTGGTAATCGAATCACCATTCAGAACGTTAGCAGACACGACAGCGGACGATACAGGTGCCTGGTCGAGGACGGTTCGGATAAGCCGCCGTTGGAGACGATTGTCGTCGTCGTTTATTGTAAGTATTTGGATACGTTCGCCCCGGGCTTAGTCTATATTTAAGCGTTGCCCGAATGAATAAATCAAACACGAAGGAACGTATTTGTTTTGATAGATGCTCCTGAAATAGAAGCAAAGAGTATGGTGCACACTGGACTCGGCGTGGAGTCGGACCTGGCGTGTACCGTTCACGCTCATCCTCACGTAACCTGGGTAGCATGGTACAAGGATCAGACGGAGATCGTGCCGGACCCGGGGAGGATAGAGATCAAGAGCGACAAGAATCTCCACACGCTGAAGATTTTGCACACCGAGCAGAAGGATCTCGGAACGTACATGTGCGTCGCGACGAATAAATTGGGTCGAACCGAGAAAAGCATCGATCTCACCGGTAATTAAACTTTTGATACGGGAGAAACGGGCTCACGGACACGGTGGAGTAACGTTTCAGATTTTAGATTTGCGAAATAATTGTTACGATCAACGTGTGCGACGGGGCGGCTCCGACAAATGTATCCAAAGGTTTGAACTCGACCTTGTTCTCTTCGAACGATGGTCTATTTGCGAAGCAATTATTCAGAAAACCATTCGGGGAGCTTGTGGAAAGTTTGGAGAAACGGAGAAATCGTAAAACTGTTGCAACAGAGGAGCAACGAACTATTTAGTATTCCGTCCGGCCGAGGATGAGTCCGCGCAGCGATAGTGGAAAATGGCTGTCGCGGAACTGCCTCTATTGTTTTACAACACGTATCTTATTGTTGGAGTAGTAATTCTCCGCGCGTAGAGATTCTTAATTTATTATAAAGTCAAACATACATACGTATGTTCTATCAATTTTATTTTTGGAATTAGCGTCAGTTTCATGATTTATCCACGTTACTACAACTTGCACGAACTTTCTGAGCTATTGACTTTTGGATACTTTTATTGCAACGTTCCTATCACACGTTAGCTGCCTTTTTTTACTTAGAATCGACAGATGGAAATTTTGGATTTTCAAGCATTGTCCATTCATACACAAATGGATCAATTATATCGTTAAGACTGAAATCATTGTTTTGCAGGTTTACCATCTCAGGCAACTATATATAGCTGTGAAGTAACCAGAACCGGCACAGGTTTGGTTCTGAAATGGCGATTGGAGAGCTACTCGCCGATCACCGAATACAAGGTATTTTAACATAAACGCAACTCTGTTTTATACTAATCAAAGAGCCTTATTGCTTTCACGAAAAAAGGAGTCACTTTTAAGAATTATTTTTATAGCTAATTTCTCGCTAAAAAATAACTCGAAAAGAAAGGATAAAATTTTTATACGAAACTTCGTTTTTAAAAAGGATCGCGTGTAATAGAGTTGGTCACCGATATAAGTAGAAACACTGAGTAACGAACAGACGCATTAGCGTATCTGGTAAATCTTCAAACACCATTATCTCAAAAATGAAGAATTCTGAGAAAAAATTTTCAATGCTAAGACAATTTTCTATCGATTAGTCATTTTGTTCTACGTTAAAAATAAAATTGTATAGGATTGCAATGTCTCAATCTCCACAGTTTTAGCAGATAGGTCCTCGTTAATAGCTACTAAATTTCAATTTTACTAAAATGAAAAGATCGTTTTCTCGAAATTAAAATTTAATCTACGGAATGATTGCAGCTGCAATACCGTCGCAGTGGGGACAACCAATGGGTGTTACTCAAGCCTTCGGTAACGAATGGCAAAGGCAATCAATTCACCGTCGAGCATGTGATCGAGGATCTTCAGCCTGGATCATACGAAACGATCATCACCGCTAGAAACGATTTTGGATGGTCTCAACCCTCCGAGCCACACGTATTTACAGGAGGTACAAAAATACAAGCGTTCATCTCATAATCCTAATCTCATAATGGATCTCTAATTTATTAAATCGTTATTCTATCGTTTTACAGATTTCGAAGAGCACGAAGCTGAGAGAGGTAAGTATCATCAAATCATTAACGAGGAAACCATTCAACGTGTCTATACGATCTATTATTATTTTATTCATAGCACCAAGAACTTATAATCCACCATTCTACACATGTAAATTAAAATCGAATAGATCGAGTGAATTTCCTCGTAAATTTTGCGAAATATAGCCCGCAATATTGTTACACGAGTTTTCTATATTTGCAGTGAAAGGGCCATCAGCAGCCGCGTCTCACCCCGCGATATCCATTGCAACGTTATTCCTAGTCGTCTCGTCCTGTGCCTTTACAAGTCTGTAATTTACTGAACTCCTTAAACTACGTAGGTACGTCCATCCCTTCGAACAATTCGATTCTCGTTCAGCCAGAGAAAATTTGACCCTAAAACTTGGAATAACTTGGACTAAACTTTTTTATTTCTATTTTCGCAGATAATTTGCTGCAGCCAAAGTGTACACCAGCAGATATAATGGTGGGTGTAGTGAAGCAAGAATGTCTAGGAGAACAGTTCATCGTTAGCCTAATATATTCCTTTTTAATCGATAGAGACTGTGTAAAAAAGAAAAACCACGGTATTATCGCTTATTTCTCGAACGACAACCACGAATGGACCTCTCGAATTTTTATATAATTTTTAACAAAAACAAGTTTCTCACCAATTCGTAATCCATCACGGGCATTGTCAGCAAAAAGCAACCGTTTCAGCTAACACGAAGTGAAATGTATTATATAATTCTCCTAGATATTCTGTTATGTATTACAAGAGAAAAAAAGAAACGAAGAAGAGCATTTTAATTGTACTCTAAATCGGGAGTAACTATAAGGGATAGTATACTTTAAAATATATTTATATATCTATATGTATATTATATATATATATATATATACGTATACATAATATAGTATTCACTGTACATGTATAAGTTCAGAGATACATGATTATTATTATAATTTATTTTTGTATGCTTAAGATCACTAGATCCGTGTTCTATGATGTTGCTTAGTGCCATGTACGCATGTTTTTATTCTCTCACGATCGTGTACAAAACCGGCACTGATATATCGTCCGCGCATGCGCGTGAATGGCGGACACGTAGGTACCTAATGTGTAATAGCAAAGAAAATAATGTTACTATAGTTCGTTTGTTCGTCGTTATGATTTACGTAGCAGATCGACGAAAATTTATGAATTGAAAACAAATATACCACGCGTTGACACGCTCTAGGAGTTTCTGACTATCGATGGAACGAAATCAATTGGTCGTTGGCGCCATAACGTTTGGCTCTTCGCCAGTTTACATCTGCTGGCTTTTGGCGCGAACCTACGAGCATACGTTCTCTTGTCTTTCGAACAGAAAGATAAGCCAATATGATGCAAACCAGAGATGAACAAAAATAATTAATAATAATAGAAATTAATTTGCAACGCACAGAATGATAAGTCTCTGTTCGTTTAATGTGAAATATGATTTCGTTGTGATTCATGTTGAATAAATAAAATGTTTCTCCGCATAAGAATGTTTGTCCATCTCTGGAGGAAGAGTAGGAGTAATTGACGATGAAAAGAAAATGGCCACGGTCAAATTGATTTTGATCCGTCCGTAAAAATTCCTCCTTTTCGTTTATGTGCTTTCAATTCGAAGAACTATAAAATTTTTCATTCGTCTTCAGTGTATGATGGGATGCGTGGATGTGAGTGGCTGTTGAGAGTGCGAGATATGATGTATCGTTTTCCAAAATAGCTTGGTAGCTTTAGTACCGATACACGTCGTTTTTAATGAATTATGATAATCGTTACGATCGATAGATTAACAAGTGAACAGTTGTACAAAAATAGTCCACTCCGTGAAATGGTGCGCGTCATGTAAACGTTAATTATAGAAATTTCAGTCACGCTTACTTCGATTATTCTGTACATGATACTTATTTCTTTGTATAGTGTTCGTTGCATTTATTCGTTTGATAATGAAATTGGTTTCGTAACTCTTGATTTCGAGTGAAGATACAACGTCGCTGACTGTCGAGTCTGAGACAATAATGATTATCAAAAAAAGAAGATGTTTTTATTCTTGTTCGTATTGATGGAGTATCTACTTTGCACGTGATTGCAAATTATACGCAGGAGCGCTAAATATGTATTTTGAGAACTCCGTGGTAAACTATATAACGAGACCATATTGACTAATCGAGCAACTAAAATCCTAATCGTCCGCAGAACTTATGGCCGCGAATAATAATGCAATCTAATGTAAAGTGCGTACGATGCTAATGAGAAATATATTAATCGTAAAAGTTATAAATCGTTGAAATAAATACGTTATAATTACTATGTTTTGTAATTTACTTAAATAATTATGTGAAACATTGAAATATATTTATCGATCTCTAAATTTTAATGTTTAATGGCCGACAACCAAAAAGAACAAAATTGAAGATTAACGACAAGTTATTACATAATGTTTACCTAACTTTGAATTCACGTTTCAGTAATAGTTTCGATGATAAAACATTACTAATAGATATTGTACTTTCCAAGTCTCGTTGACTCTCGTGTTCTACTGTAAAATATTATAGACAATGGTATGGAGAATTGAATAACTTTTCAGACGTTTATACATCTTTATTTTAAGCGATTGAAACGAGAGGTTTATGTATAAATTGCTGCTAATTTAAATAAATTGAAACAACAATTGGAAATTAATTAATTACTCGTTCCCTGCGATTCGATTCCTAAACTTTCAGTTGGAATGAAAAGGAAAAGGGAAGAAGAATTGGAAACCAGTTCTTTCTAACACAAATATTAACACTTTACCGACCGGTAGCGGTTGATTAATCGGCTATCGGTCGGTAAGCGTTGGTCGGTAAAGAAGTTGATTAATACGCTATCGGTCGGTAAGTGTTGGCCGGTAAAAAAGTCGATTAATAGGCTATCCGTCGGTAATGTGTTAACTTCAGAAAACGAGTTACGAATGCTTAGAAGGAATGGATTAGAGATGACTAGGAACAAGGTATATGTAGAATCCGATAAGACTAAATCAAATCTGTATAGGGCCAATTTGGAAAAACAATTTATCCATCTGAAGCTACATAAACCAGGAGAGTGTTACCACAGACGAGATATATGAATAGACCTTTCACCTTATGGACTTTCGCGGCCGAATCTGACTGCCATACCGACCTGAAAATTCGGAGGTGACTTTAGCGGCCTCTTCTCATGAATGGCGGTCAATTGAGAAACTAGGCACTGAATTAGTATTGATGGGCAGCTAGCTGTAGCGTGTGCGTAAATACATGTGAGTTAACTATGGGAGGGATTGAAAAAGACAGTGCAGTATTAACAGATGGCAGACCCGTGCCGAAAGGGAACTGCCCCTCCACTTACATACCCTAATGCCAACCACCTTGTATATGAGTTCTGGCGTTTCGTATAGCTTCGTGGATTCGAGAAAGGCGGCGACTGTGAGTCTATCCTTCTTGCTCTCAACACAGCCGAAATTCATCTCGCATAATCTCGAGCCGAGTCCCCCTGATCATATTTTAACTATTAAAAAAAAGACATTTTTTTACTATGCTAATGGACGTGCGTTCATATATTTATACTATTAATACGATTGAGTCTGAACAACCAAATGAATTCAATAGAATTTAAAATTTTTAAATCTGAAAATATTTGAGAATACTGCCCTATTTGTCCTTTTTGTTTAGCAATTTAAAAAAACGCTGACTCGTTAAAATCAATCATTTGAAATGATCCTATACCTCGTCTGTGATCTAATCCTAAATAGATCTGTAGTTGACGAGTGTATCTGAATTTTTGTGAGAAATTAATACACAATGAAATACTTTCGCGATTGTTACGAGAAATGGAATGGTTTCTGAAGAACGCAGCCATTAGATCATATTATTTGTTATGTAATTAATAATTGTATTAATTACATACTAAATAATAATCCCCAGGTCTCACCACGTGGAGGTTGCTGCGAGTGGAGACCAGAAGGGAGATAGATGGAATCAAAGTTCCATCGATCTCTCTTTTAGCTAAGCTTAGCTGGATTACTAAACTAGAGAGATAGAAGGAAGCAATGTTCCTTCGATCTTCTAGTTTAGTTGTACCAAGTAATTATTTCGTTTGAAAAGGGGTGAAGCTATATTGCGGGATACGCGACGCGACGCGATGCTGAACCGTGCGGCAGATCTTCGGATCGAATCAACACTGCCCTTGGTAGATTGATTTCTATTTCTAGAAATCGATCCATCATGGGTAGGCGACTAGATCTTTCGGACAAACTGGACGGCCGATCACATGTTTCGATCGATGAAACAGCGGTGATCGAAGCTTGGAACCAGAGAACGAGTCGAGTGAAGCTACTTGTTAAATAATTACTTGGCAATATTGGGAGACGCATACAATAGGGACTTAAAATTAACGTCGAAGCTCAAGTCTGGTCAAGTTAAAACTAAAATTCGGACGATAGAAGGAAATAAAGTTCCTTGGATGTTCTGGTTTAGTTGTACCAAGCAATTATTTGGTTAAAAAGAGGGACGAAGTTAATTTGAGGGGCACGCGAAGCGACGCGACGCTGAACCGTGCAGCTGATCCGAGGATCGAACCTACTGCCCTTGCTAACTAGATCTCTATAGGATAACGGACGGCTGCGACTCCGAATCGAAGGTCTCCATTGCTCCAATGCAACCCGCCGGGAGCCCGAAGGACCCGACTCAAGTTGTCTGACATAGAGAGAGTACCTGAAACAGTGTCGACTTTCGCTGGAAGGTGTGCGTTTCCGCAGAATACGGAAACTCCACACCTTCCAGCAAAGTACCATTTTCCCTCGATCGAGCTACCAAAGGGAAGGCGATTAGATCTTTCGGATCAGCTACCCGGCCGATCACATGTTTCAATCGATGAAACAGCGGTGACCGAAGCTACGAACGAGGGAACGAGCGAGAGACAAGCTACTTATTGAATAATTGCTTGGTAGGACGCGGAGATACGTATATGTTAGCGTCAAAATGCTTTTCGAAGCTAAGACACGTGTCGGGGTCGTACACGTGTCTCGGAGGTCACTTGGTGTAAGGAATAGCCTCAGGAAATTAGAAGAGGATGGCCGATGCAGTTAGGATCGGTGACACCGTCGCGGATGTTATGATTACGAATCGATAACTAAGGGTCCGATTGCCAACCGCCGAACTAGACGCGTGTGGCCGATGACCTAAAGTCATGGCACGTGTACTGAGATAAGGATGTTCGAGAAGGATCTGGCCACGGAGTGGGGAAGGCTTTGCCTTTTGGTAAGAGGACTGTGATGAACCCCACGGCACTTACCCCAGAACTCTGATCGTGCGAACGTCTCGTAATTCTCAAAGACTATATAATTTCTAACATATAATAAAGAAGGCTTCGACGTTAATTTTAATACTCGCGACGAAGCTTAAGACTAATCAACTTGCAATTAAAGGTCCCTCGGCGGTTGTGGCGTTCTCCCTCGATGTCCTTGCGATTAACCCAAATTTGAACTGAAATCAAAACTCATATGTATATTAGTGAGATATGATAGGAAATTTAATAAACACTTTAAAATCATCTATCACCTAGCTAAAGGGAATTGAACAGAGTATATTAGCAAAATGTTACAAGAATTTTAGCTGAGAAGTAAAAATAAAAGTCTTATATTAATCAGTGTCGAACAACGAACACGAACGAAAAAACGAGTCAGAGACATCGAAACAAATACGGTATATGCATCGGCAAAATGTTATTCATATCAAAACGAACACTCCTAATAATGAAAGAAACTTGGATCGAGACACCAAGTTGAATCAACACCAAACAATCAAACGAAATGGAAGAATCAAACAAAGTACCTCCGTAGAATATTACGAGAATTCGAGCAAGAACGTAAAAATATGAATTCATGAATTTGTATAGAAACAAATATAGTGTATGATTGAAAACAATATTATATTATTATATCCTGCAATATTATACATATCGAAGCAGTCACATAAATTCGCAAAACAATGTAAAAGTAGAAACAGAGAAAAGGAACATTCATAATAACCAAATAAAATCAGGTAGATAAATAAAGTTGAATTCACATCAAACAAACAAATAAAAATAATAAAATATAAATAAGTGGAGTGGACTTACTACTTGTTGTCAGTACATAGGGTAGTTACCATAAGGGCCAGCTGTAAAGTAAGAAAATATTCATATTATAGCAACATCGGTTAGATAAACAAGGCAAAATCAGTTCATTGAAGCAAAATTGGCATCAAATGATAGAATAGAAGAAGGGAGAGAATTTTTAAACAGTTCTTACCGTTGGTCATCACCGTCCGGCACTGGTCAGTAGTGGTCAGTAGTGGCAGGAATACGAATCAGCACTGGTCAGTAGTGGTCAGTATTGGTCAGCAATGGTCAGCTGTGGTCAGCGCTGGCCAGTAGTGGTGAGCAGCGGCCAGCAGAGGTCAGCAGCGGTCCCCGGTTCTCCTCTGGCTATTTGTACACTCCCGAATTCGCGACTCGACTGAAGAAATCTTCGCAGTGACCCTGCTTATATGTCTAAGGTGATGAAAGGGTGGGGAGACCAGTCAGAGCCAAAGTTGAAGATAACAGGTAAGACTGTCTCGTCTACAAAGAAACAATTTCGATTGGTCCCACCTCTTGACCATTTCTGGATCTTCACTGGACCGCTCACCTTGATGCCCACCTCACTGTTGACCACCAGCGACCATAAGCTACTCGTTGTTGATCATCGACCCATTAAAACCATTACGAAGATTAAAGCCTTCTTACGAGGATCCCCTTACAATTTTATGCATGATCTTTTTAACATTTTGTTCCACTTTGGAAGAGTGTATCTCGTTAATTTTTGTCTTTTTGTACGTCACTTCGAACAATTGCCATACGTGAACGAAAAAATTCGGAGGTGATTTCAGCGTCCTCTTCTCATGGATGGCGGTCAGTTGAGAAATTATTCACTGAATTAGTATTGATAGGCAAACAGCTGTAGTTTTGCGTAAATCCATGTGAGTTGACTATGAAAGGGATTGAAATTCATTTCTAAATCTGTTGGTAATGTTGCGAGTGACACGAAAATGGTAATGGGGCTCTAGAGCCCCAGAAAAATGGGCCGGAAAAATACATTGGGTGAAAGGTCTACTCGTATACTTCGTTTGTGCTGAAAGTTTAGACTGTTTTATTGCTAGAAGACTGATACGAATTAAGTTGTTTAATAGATAATAAGAATAAAATCAGCGTTCTCCATATCTTCTAAAGAGCTGTATTTCTTAGTTTAAACGGCTACATTTAACAAAAACATTAACATTAACTTTTCTAACATAACAACACAGACGAGGTATACCTGGAATCTTTTTTAAGAATTTACTAACAGTCGAACGGAATCTCCAAACTGCATAGTGTTGCCATCTATTGCTGCATCATACGTAATAATATAAAAGAAAGTATCTTTAATTGATACCATCGACGTAAATAAATAATTAAATGTATATAAAATTATATTATAACGCTAGAAAAATAACAATATAATTTTCACATATCATATCAAAAACCAGATTTATATCAATTGCATAGTGTTGCCATCTATTGCTGCATCATACGTAATAATATAAAAAAAAGTATCTTTAATTGATACCATCGACGTAAATAAATAATTAAATGTACATAAAATTATATTATAACGCTAGAAAAATAACAATATAATTTTCACATATTACACCAAAAACCAGATTTATATTACAATACCAAAAGTATATATATACAAAAAGTAAAAAATGCTAAATATCACGCTGCTTGTTTTCCACAGAATGTTAAGAAATCGTGTAATAAACATAGATGGATTTCAATATGTTGTAATACAATTTTATCTTGCAACAAATCCATTTACATTCGATAATATTAATTCCTCTCATAAAATAATATATCCATAAAAATACATCGCAGAATATATTTTTCTTTAATAACAGACATCTATTACACAAGTTTAATATTGTTTACGTTGTTCAATAAGACATTAGATAGTAGTGTCTTTATACATTGATTAATTTTGATATTTGATTTCGTTTGTTATCTGGTCCCAGTTGGACAAAGTACAAAAGCTCGTGATATTTTAAAAATAGTATGAAATTAGATATAGTAGACACGTGTCAATCTTGTCAAATGTTTATTCGACACACAAATATATACAATTGCCTCGAGGAGTGTCGAGTGACACTCGATACCTCCCGTTTGGTCCATCCGTGGTGTTGGGTTCGTTTCGACGAATTTCGCTCGGTTATGCTAGGGGTAAACGGAGAAAGAAGGGAATAAAGAAGAAAAGAACTTGTGGATCAGTTGCTGCTCGTCAGTCCGTTTGTCGTTTCCACGGAGCTCGAACGTCTTTCGGCCATAATGAATCCAACGAAGAAGGTGCTGTCCAGATCGGACAACGGTAACACGGCGGAGTGTCAATTGACTTTACGATTGTTAGACATGTTGCAAAAAACACAGTACGAGCTGGTTCAAGAGAACGGCCAACGTCGTTTGACCGCGCCGGAGATCACTCGCGGGGAGAAACAACGCATAAAAGGGGCCGAAATTTTTCTCGGACGTTTGCCACGCGATTGTTACGAAGACGAATTGATGCCGATCCTTCAATCGGTCGGTCGTCTGATCGAATTGCGTTTAATGCTCGACTTTTCCGGGTCCACCCGCGGTTACGCGTTCGCGTTGTTCGAGAATTCGAAGATCGCCAGAACCGCGTGTATGAAACTCAACGGTTACGAGATCAGACCGGGCCATCATATCGGTGTCGTGAAATCGATCGATAATTGCCGGCTATTTTTCGGCGGTGTGCCGAAAGACAAAAGCAAGGAAGAGTTCTTGGAGGAACTGAACAAGATCCTCGACGGGATCGTCGATATTTATTTGTATCCGAGTGGCCACAATAAAACGCAGAATCGTGGTTTCATTTTCGTCGAGTTTAAGGATCACAGAGCGGCCGCGATGGCGAGAAGGAAATTAATACCGGGGAAAGTTATGTTATGGGAGCACGAGATTGCAGTCGATTGGGCCGATCCTGAGCCTGGGGATCCCATTGACGAGGAAATTATGGAAACGGTAAGATTTTAACACGTTCGCTACGACCGCTCGCTTGGAAAATGGACCGCGCTTCTGTTTCGTGGTAATATTATTCAATTATTTATTTACGGGAGAACCTTTTAGTAAATACAGCTTGTTCCGCTATTCGTCAAAATTGGCGCTGGGGCTTCTTTGATAAAGCAATTAAAGTTTTAGTTAGTGTACTATAAAAATATAAAAATAATATTATAATATCATTATATATATAATATATATAATATATATAATTATATAATTACATATATAATATATATTATAATGTAATTATAATATATAAAAATAAATTTTTTTGAATAGTCAAAGAAAATCGATTTTTTTTGCCTGAAATTATCAGACTGATCTCCAATTTTAAACTCTTTATATTTTCTATTCATCATTAAATCTGTTATACTTAATTGATATTCAATGGTCTCAGGTTACCGCTCTCTTCGTGCGAAACCTGTGCATAGAAACGCCGCAACAGAAAATTCGAGACATATTTCAGAAGACGACAAAGATCCCGGTATTGAAGTTAAAAAAAATTAACCACTTCGCGTTCATCCATTACGAAAATCGTCGAACAGCTCAGACCGTAATGAACATTATGACACGTACGTATACCCGACATTTTCGTTTTGTTATCTGTCGTACGCGTGTCGCTAAAAAGAAATAATGAAAAAATCAGAACCGAATGGTGTCGCTGAGGCAGAAGGTTGGGAAATACGTTGGGCGAAACCGATCGGAGCGACGAAAATTTTGGAAAGGCAACGATGCATCAACGAGGCAGTGGCGAAGTCGTATCCCAGTAAATGCGAACAAAATCATGGCAAGCATTCTTTAACGAAAACAGTTAACACCCAACCTTGCACGGTGGACATAAACGATAATGTTATAAAAGATGTATCCTCGGAGCATATGATCACTTTGCAAAAGTTTATTGAGAACAAGTTCAACGCGTCGTGCATTTTCAACTGTGCATATATGGAAGGCATGTTTATGTGCAAAGTAAGCCATTATTCTGTTTCCTTAATTCGATATTCGTTGTTCGAAGTTATCGACCATCGATCTACTATGTTTCCTCAGATAACTATTCTCAAAGACGAGAAATTTCTCTGCGAGTATCACGGAGATTTGATGCCCACGAAACAAAATGCGATCGTCGAGGCCTGCTCGCAGATGTATCAGTTTATTTCTACTAGATTTCATAATTTCAGTAAGTACTTTCTTTTTTTACTGAATTTATATGAACCACGGTGTAATTTCCCCGTGGCAACGACTATCTCGAACGATTATTTTCGCTAGAGCCTCGCGCCGTGAAGGGTAGCCATGTAAACAAGTAATTTGATACCCCGAGGCTTGTTTTGACGCGTTCAACGCAGACCGTATTCGCGGAATCAATCCTTTCCTTAAACTGCAGAATGCTTGTCCGTTTTAATATCCGTTGCTCTTGAATACCTACGTTATTTCTGTTCAATCCCATGACGTACGACGCAATTGCAAATAATTCTGCAAATACACATATTAGTGCTATAATTGGATTAATTTTAATTGGCCGCTTAAGGAGGTATTTTCATCTGGTGCGTTGTTTTCTGGATGATATTTAAAATTTCAAATAAATCCAATTGTAGTAGCAAGAAATTAAATATTCACTTCGCGTAAACGTTTATAATTCAAGGAGCTACGGAAATATTTTTATGGAATCGTCTCGTGTATTTTTAAGGTTGTTATTACCAACAACGTGTCAACAACATTTGTTCTCGGTAATATTTTACTATTGACATTGTTCTATTCATTCGAGACTGAACGATCCGAGGCAATCTTAATTTATGCAGGGTGCACCGTGAATTTTCCGTCGAACTGTGCGAACCTAACCTATAGGCGACAAGAAGTAACGAATGTTACATAAATTTTATGAATAACGCTTTATTTTAGAGTTAGAAATAGCATTTCGCCATTCGATTTTTATGTGTGGGCTACATTAATGTAAAAATAAAAGAATTAAAACACAGTTATTGAAACTAAGATTTACCAAGTGGAACATGGTTTTAATTTTATTTTTTAGATGATAAGAAACGTATAAATGTGCAGTAAGTTAATTCTAAATTAAATTCTCGTAGTTTGGCGGCAAAATCTCGGGAAGGATGGTATAAATATTCGTAAAATGCAAATAACGGTAAATAAATATGTTGGTGTTTTCTTTCTTTGTTTTCAGTGATGCAACAGAATGAGCTCGTCTACATGAACCAGAAGTTAGGCAATCATCCAGCAATTGGATCGGAACTTCGCTGGGTTAATAAAACGAACTCCTACTAGATTCTTAAATAATTCATTACTCAACCTTGCAAAGATCATACATATTATTTATAACGTAGAGATCCGAAAGCATGATAGTAAAAGATCGAGATAATTTTAGAAACTCGAATTCAGATTTAATTAATTAATTGCGTTTAAATCTGTAACATGAAATTAAAATTCATTGTAAACAAATATTTTTATACTTCGAATTGAGTCTTGACTCAGTGTCTGAAAGATGTTTGAGGAAACGATTCGATTTTGATTTAATTATTTTATAAATGAGGAGCACGTTTTTAAGTATCATAGAAAATACACCATTACAAAATATCGTGCGACTGTTTCTACTCGATGAAAGAGATTTTTCACTATGATATTTATAAAACAAAAATAAAGCTTAGAGCAGGCGTGACTTTTAATACTGAAGCTTGGAAAAAATGAACTGTATGCTAATTCAGAAAATCTGGCAATCACAGGTTCTCTACGTTAACATTATATATCTAAAATATTAAATTATCTATTTCAATATCGTAATAATATTACTATTGTTTGAACTATATATATATATATATTATAAATTGTTTATTTGCGAGTTGCTTAAAGATTCGATTGAAATCTAATCGATATAATTTTTAATTATTGTTAACTGAATGTGGAACACGACGTAGGAGTTAAATACCATTTTATTTTTTTATGTTTAAAGGCGTACTTGAACTTACAATACGCAAACGTACCACGTTTAGTTCCGTACAATTACTTTATAAAATTGTAATTTACATCGAAATAAATGATCATATTGAAACATTAGTTCAATTCACTGAATTTTTTTAGTCGTATAATGAAGAATTATCGTCAAGAAGTACCATTATTCGATCGTCGGGGGTTAGGTTATAATCGGAAAGAGTACGATCGTTTTCCAAATAATAACCTTGAATCCAAAGCCTCATTCTCTCTGGCTTCCACTTTCTATGTCGTTCATACAAAACTTTAGCAAGCCGTTGCTTTAAATATCCAATTGTTTCTGAATAGGATATCCGTATTTCCAAATTTGGACCATCCAATCTGCATATAGTCACAACCGGCTGACATCTGCATTTATTCTTTATAATAAATCACATTAAACTCCGTTTAAAACTGTTTCATAGTTTAAAATAAATGTTTTACCATTCTATATGAGAAACATTATTTCCTTGGAAAAGCTTGAAATTGTTAACTCAATACCAATATAACTGCAAGTAAATTAATAAACTAATTGCGTTATAAAGTGTAAGAACGCTGTAAACAGTGATCAATTTTATTCAAATTCGTTTAAATTCTGATTTGGAATTTTATTGGGGTTAAATTCTGCAATTAGCACCTAACTTCAGTTTATTTCAATGTTGAACATGAATATTATTTAAATTGTTAATAAATACTCGAAAATCGACCTCGCGATCTGGACATTGGTAGCAAAACAGCGGCGTAATCCTCGAGTATTTTTCGTACAGTTTCGTTATCGGTATTATCGGTACGATTATTGGGTCTCATGCAACGGACAAGTAGTCTTGTTTCGGTCGTACACCCACTAATTGTTTGGCCCATTTCCGTGGAAAATATTTCGTGCGTATAATCGAGCAATTTCGCCACCAAACAATCGAGGACTGTATCTTTCGGTATTTCCCCGTATCCGTTTTGCGTGCACTCTTTGATAATAACGTTCATCCAACCCCAGTCCTCCCATTGCTCGGTGTACTTGACGCGCTGATTTTCCAATTGATACGTCAAATGAGCACGGTATCTGCGCAACGATAAAGAAAGAAAAAAAAAAAGTCATTTAATTATACTGAAAGACGAGTAGTTGGTTTTACAATCGGCGAACATTTTATTATAGCAGAGTTCCTCGGGCGGAGACGATAAAGGAAAGACGACTCTTTCTCTCGTTTCTCCGCGATTCGTTTAAAATTATTGGAAAAAGGAGACGTTCCACTCACTCACCCCCAGTTCAACGGATTCTTCTCGAACTTCACATTTTTAAGGTTGTTGAGATATGCGAACATACTGTAATCGATAAATTTTATTTGGTTGTAATCGAAGTAGAGGTTTTCCAAATTGGGAAGCAACTGAAAGACACCGTAGTCGATTACTTCGATAAAATTGAACGACAAGTCGAGGGTTCTCAAGTTCGGTGTATACATGAACCAGTCCCTCGGCACTATTTTCAATTTGTTGCCCCATAGTACGAGCTTCTTGAGCTTTACGAGGCCCACGAATGCCAACGATTCTATGGTTTCTATACCAGATTCGTGCAAATCCAAATTGACGAGGGTCGCGCCGAATTTCGCGAACGCATGTCTGCAAACAAACACGAACGTATTTAGATACCGATTTTGAACTTTTATTTACCCCTTAACGCGTTAAACGCCTTGAAACGGACGCCATTAAATATACGTAACATTTAAAAAAAAAATGGTGGTTTCGCTAGGCGTTCAACGCGTTAATAGATATTTCCATTCCCTTACCTTTCTATATTCGGTATGTTCGAGTCAGAAATTTTAATGGTCGTAAGGTTGCTCTTCGTTTTCTGCAACGGATTCAAATTCGTCAGTTCGGTGCACGCGAACGTCACGGTCCTGTCCCGTTTTCCGCTAACAGTTTTACAATTGATCGTGTCTGTCGCGGCGTTTGCCAATAAATTAAAAATAATAAAAATTAACAGACGCTCCATGATGCGCGGGAGACAAAAGCCGGAGCCTGGAGCGCGAGCATTTAATTAACTGAACGTTCTCGACGCCTCGTACGATACTCGACCGAATCGCGTGGGCGGCGTATCCTTCGTTTCGCGTTATAATTTCCTCTTTCGATAAGGAAACGAGTCTGACGCAGTCAAATTAAAGGAAGCTGACATCGTGGATCGTTCTTTTTTTTTCAATATTTCTATTGTAACTCCCCGCTATTAATCAACTTGATAACTGAATAGCATCGCGGATATTCTATCGGGAGTGGTTTGGGGGGAAAAAATTGTGGCGCGTATTCCTCCGTCGTTTCCTCTCGCGTGGCAATAAATTCGTTCGAATTTGTTCGAATTTTATACACCTTCTAATTTCTATGTCTAATATTTTACCTGACTCTACATCTTTTATATTATGATACTATTTTATTTCTACTGTAGATATTGTACCACTGTTGGATGACCTCTCATCGCCTCTTAGTCGCCTAAATAACAAGCCCTAGCTCATTTTGTCAATAAGGGTAGAGTTCACTTAGGTTCGTCATGTCCCTTTTTCCTTTCTTTAGTTTTAATATATAAGATTTAGCAGCATTACAATTCTTGACTGTCTGACTGTCAGGCTTGTTTTAATGTCCGCCATTGCTCACTTGAAATACAGGGTGTCCCGTAAATAGTGTAAGAACCGGGAATGGGGGGTAGCTGAGACGATTCTGAACAACAATTTCCTTTGAAAAAATGTCGGATGGGGCTTCGTTTTTGAATTATTAACGAAAAACACTGACCAATCACGGCGCTATATACAGGGTGGTCCACGCAATTGTTTCAAGCCATAACTCCGTTATTATTGCATTTACGTATAAAGGCCAAAGGAAAAAGATAAACAATTCGGAGTGCACTACATCTGTAGGCCTTTAAATTTTTTTTAGGTGCAGCAGTGCATGTGCAATTAACAATTGCATCATTCCTTTAAATAGAAATGCATATTTTTTTTTACACAGATCGATTCTTTTGTTCATTCTACGTAAAAAATGATTAGGGTACCATGGCCAAAAAATTATTAGATCTCGAGATATTTTCAAAAAATGTTTCCACATTTAGCAAGAATTTATTTACCGCCTCAAAAAATGTATCCGCGCTCATGGTACGCATTTTGAAAACCTTCTAAAATAGAGATTTAACTTAAGACTGTTTCAGTGAAATTGAAAATCCTTCATTTATCGTCCCCGAACGCGTACTGAAGTTACTGACAAACATTTCATAATTTCTTCACTAAAGGTCAAGTGAAGGTCAACATATTGCACCTCGTTGGATTCGTCTTTTCATAAGCTATAAGACTGTTGTAGTAAAAATATGCAGTTTCATTTAAAAAAAATACGATGACCTTGAAATCTTGGAAAAAGTGACCTTGAGAAAAAAATTTGACCCATCACCGTATTGGCGCTTTCGAACAGAATATTTTCTAATCCTGACATTTTTTCTATCATACAAAATAAGCAATATATTTATGGTGGTCAAGTTAGGTGAAATACTCTGTATACTAAAACTAAGAAAGGAAAAAGGGGCATGACGAACCTAGATGAACTCTACCCATGTTAACAAAATGAGCAAGGGCTTGCCATCTAGGCGACCAAAGAGACGATGAGCCAGAATATACATTGATGAGGAGGTTGGTCATCCAACACCACACAATTGAAGTTGTTTTGTTGATATAAATAAAAGATATTTAGAGAGAAAAAGTAAAGTAGTATTGAGAGATCCACAGAGAGATGGATGGGATCCAAGTTCCATGGATTTCCTTTCACTTTACAATTCGTACGATCGAGATTGCTAAATGTTTAGCTCCGGCAAACTATCGAATTCGAGAAAATGGGTCAAAATTGGGATGAACGGAACATGGACCGTGTGGCAGACCCTGGGGACAGTCACGTTCCTCATAGCGAGTTTGATTGTTCAGGGAAAGGGTCCCCCGTTTCTTCCAGCATTCCGCCGGAAGCCAATGGACCCAAGGATTTACCCAGGACAGGGTAAATCAAGTAATTCATAAAATAAAAGAAACAGATACTATGTGACTTATAAAAATTAATAAAACATCACATCAACACACGAGGAAAGGTGAGGAACCTTCAAAGGGTCCCCCATTTCTTCCAGCATTCCGCCGGAAGCCAATGGACCCAACTCAGAACAGAGTAAATAAAGTAATTCATAAAATAAAATAAATAGATAGTATGTGAATTATAAGAATTAATAAAATACTACATCAACACGCGAGGAAAGGTGGGGAACCCGTGTTAATCGTCTTTCTCTTCAAAGGGTCTCCCATTTCTTTCAGCATTCCGCCGGAAGCCAATGGACCCAACTCAGAACAGAGTAAATAAAGTAATTCATAAAATAAAATAAATAGATAGTATGTGAATTATAAGAATTAATAAAATACTACATCAACACGCGAGGAAAGGTGGGGAACCCGTGTTAATCGTCTTTCTCTTCAAAGGGTCTCCCATTTCTTTCAGCATTCCGCCGGAAGCCAATGGACCCAACTCAAGACAGAGTAAATGGGTAAATCAAGTAATTCATAAAATAAAAGAAATAGACAGTGACTTATAAGAATTAATAAAATATTACATCAACACGCGAGGAAAGATGGGGAACCTTTCGATCGAGCTCGCTAAAAGGAAACGGAACTGGCCTCAGGGTCTGCAGCACGGTTCGTGTCGCGCCTCCCTCGAGTTTGCTTCGTTTTCTGCGATGAAATAATTGCTTGGCAAAACTAAACAAGGTGATCGAGGGAACTTCGATACCCTCTATCCTCTTAGTTCAGCAATCTCGATCGCGAGAACGACGCGTGTGAGAGCAAATCCACGCAGAGGAGGGGATCCTATCGATTTTAAGGTGCTATCCGAGACTGTTGGTTTTCCTCTTCTAAAAGAGAAAGTTTTCTTTATGTGAGAAAAATCATCGACGCGTGTGTTGCGAGCCAAGAAGGTGCAGCTGTGCCCTTTGGCTTGTTTAGACAAAGTATAGGGCCGATTGGGTCTAAGGGTACGGGACCAATTTTTGTATGTTGCTTTCAAACTGTGCAGACGTACCTTCCAAGTGTTTCAATAAAGCTTAGTAGTTAAAAGTTATATCGTCCTAATTTTTTTTTATTCCACCATATTGGAATTGGGCGAAAAAGCAGTACACTTTGTAAGTAAAAATGAAACTTTATTCTGTGGTTTGGAAGGACGTATTCACTCTGTTAAAACTGAACAAGAAGTGAAGCGACGCTCAGATCTCCTAAAAGAAACTCTGGCGTCCACTTAAAAAGGTAAGAAACCATTGCCTGCATCATGTTTATTTCCCTGGCCCCTAGGCCCGATGGTGCCAATACGGTCTTCGTACGCAGACAATGGATAGTGTTTCTCATTGTTAGATTCCAGTTTTGTAACGATTATTTATTAATAATCCAACACACCACCTATTTCCAACAGAGACTGTATTTTCGTATCCATTTATTTCACCTCGTCGAACATTCTCCGAAAGAGAAGAACTGCGTACGCGTATGGTAAAAACAACGTTTATTGTCGTACATATATACATGAATACACAACTCGGATATTAACATCGATAAATAATACATTTACGTGTGGTATCAAGATCGTTCACGGGCCACGTTGATCGGGCGCGTGAAATGGACCTTTTGTCGCCCGATCCCCACTCATTCCTGGCAACGTGTTCGCGGCGACGAACGAAATTAACAAATCGACTCTCTCTCTCCAAATGTTCCGCGACATCCACGCGTCGCCAAATACACGCAGTATCATTTGTCCGAAAATAACTGTACATCTGTTCGACGATAATACAAGATCATTAGAAACGAACGATTTCGAACGATGGCGTACCAAGAGTTTCCTTTTATTCTTTCTGAAGATTGATAATTATGTTACCGATTTGTCGTATACAGCTACATTTATTGTCATAAAAACCGTTCATTATTTACACCACGGAATGTAACATCGACCTGTGCTCTCGATATCACATGCGTTAATTATACGACATTCCGATGGGATCACGCCATCTCGACGACGAGCAATTTTTTAATCTATTTCCCGTCGTATGACCTACCGAATCTTTTAACCAACGAAACGGTATTGTTTCGAAAACTGTTTGAACGCAGGCATCGTACGTCATACGATAGGCAGTGTTTATTCGAGTTATTATTAACCCACGGGGCGCAAAACATGGTTTCGACACTCACACAATGGATGACGATTTCGTAAAAAACACGTTTAAAGTTTGACCCAGGCGCTCGGTGGGACCGAACACGTTCGTGGCGTGACAAAAGTAAGTGACGGATGTCACCGATGTCTATACCGCGTCGAGAAATATTCGATAATAATAATAATAGTAATTCGTTTACTTTTATCGCGCCAAGAGTACAAACTATCGCTTCCGGCGACATATTTTTGTTAACCGCGGGTAAATCTGCGCTAAGGATACTCGCGACGAAATCATCCCCACCGCTGTTTATGTATCTTCAGCTTGAGCGATCGTCCCCCTCGAGTGACCGATAGTTGCATAATTAAAAACCTATTTATCCTGTTCTATATTTTTTTTAAAATTCGAACCACAGTTTTGTTAAAGAATTTTAATTTATTTTTCGACGGGAAGATGGCGTAACCCCTTAACAGGATAAGATTTGCGACGAGTTCGGATCAACGGGTAAACGTAAACTCTCGTGCGAACTGGGAACGTAACGAAGTAAAAGTAATCTGAAGCTAGGACGCAATGGATTGTTTCGATATTCTTTGTCCTACAGTATCGTAATTTGTAACCCCCGTACATTCGAGACGACGGATTTTACGAACTACAGACGACGATCACTATGAAAGCGAACATTAATCCTACGCAGTTTAATCGGCAATGTTGCAACGACGTTACGCCGTTCTGGACATTCAGTTGGGTCGGCGGAAAATGCGCTGGCGCAGGTGCGGGCGCCGGGTACGATGAAACTTTCGATTTTTTCGCGTTCACGTCCGTCAAAGCGTTCGAACTATTTCTCCTCAACATCGTTGTCGTGTGACCCACATTTCCACTATTTTTCGACAATAAACCTTCGCGTCCAAACGAGTGCAATTTGCCTTTTCTATCGCTTTGTTTCTTTGATCCGTATTTATCGATGAATTCGGTGTTGCGGGTCGGCGCTAAGGTGGTCCTCGGTAAATACAATTCTGTAACAATTTTTTAATGGAAATTTCATCGTTCGGGGCTGACGGGGCTGGAACGCTAGCGCAGACTGAGGATGGGAGTGAATATGAATCATTTTTTATAACGCCACAACCAGAGGAAACAAGAAATATCAATACGGATGTAATATCGAAATAGATACGGGAAAATGGTTCGGGAAATGGTGAAAGATTAAATTGAGGAGTTTTCAAGCTCTTATTACGTTATGTAATCAAAGGATCTGTCTCGGAATGTTCGAATAACCGGTGAATTTTTCGGAGAAATTAAAAAATTTTAAATCATTCTAAAAAAATTATCTTTGGTTGCAGAGGTTAATTACAATCATTTTTGGTCACTGACATATCCTCGAATTCGTAACCAGTTTCTGGGGAAAAATTCAATAAATAGACAAACTTTTTGACGAAATGAAAAAATATCAAGTCTTTCTAAAAAAATTATTTTTTGTTGCGGGAGTCAATTACAATCATTTTTCGTCAATAGACATACCCTCGAATATCTGGTCAGTTTCGAGAAAAAAATTCAATAAGGGATAAATTTTTCGGTGAAATGAAAAAATATCATATCGCTCTGGAAAAATTATTTTTTGTTGCAGAGGTCAATTACAATCATTTTTAGTCAATAGACATACCCTCGAATTTCTAGCCAGTTTCGGGAAAAAATTCAGCAAGTGGACTTTTTCGACGAAATGAAAAAATTTCAAATCTTTCTAAAAAAATTATTTTTTGTTGCCGGGATCAATTACAATCATTTTTCAAATTCATCATTTTGCAAATATAATATCTGGCCAGAAATGTTCCTCCGAAACATGCGAATTTTTAAAATGTCATAACTTTTGAACGGATTGGAAGATTTTAAAGTTTAAAAATGCAAACAACGCGTACTTTGATAGAAAATATGTAGAAATTCCAAAAATATTTGAAAACTTGTTCCTTGACCCCGTAAAGTGAGAAAAACCCCATAAAAGTAGCCCAATTTTCAAACAGCCATAACTCTTACAGTAGTGAATATATTTCAATGAAATTTTTATCTGAACTAGAGCTTATAAATATCTACAAAAAAGTATTAAACAAAATTTCTGTAGCGCATCAAACAAATTTGTTAAAATTTCGAATTTTTAAGAAAAATCGACAGGTGCCTAAATTTTACGCCGAAAAAAAAAATTTCAAATCGTTTTGAAAAATTTTTTTTCGGTTGCGGGGATCAATTACAATCATATTTGGTCCTTAGACATACCCTTGAAATCCTACCCACTTGCGAGAAAAAAATTCGAGAAGGTGTAAAATTTTTTGACAAAATTAATAGATTTCAAATCGTTCTGGAAAAATTATTTTCGATTGCAGGGGTCAATTACAACTATTTTTGGTCAACAGACCTACCCCCAAATTCCTACCAATTTTCTAGAAAAAAATTCGAGAAGGTGTGAAATTTACGACGAAAAAGAAAATTTCAAATCGTTCTGGAAAAATTATTTTTGGTAGTGGGGGTCAATTACAATAATTTTTGATGAACAGACCTACCCCCGAATTCCTAACCATTTTCGAGAAAAAAATTCAATAGTTATAGAAAGTTTTCGGCAAAATTAAAATATTTCAAATCATTCTAAAAAAATTATTTTTGGTTGCGGGGGTCAATTTCAATCATTTTTGGTGAATAGACATACCCCCGAAATCCTGCACACTTTCGAGAAAAAAATTCATTACCGGAAATATCATCTGTGGCCAGAAATGTTTCTGTAATTTCATTTTCTGTCTCACTTCCTCTTCTGATCATTTCTATAACCTGTTACGAAAATTGTAATGGGGCTCTAGAGCTCGAGAAATGTGCTAAACAATATACTAATATTATAATATTTTTCATTTTGGTGGAAGTTTGGAAAGTGATATCGATGGATATTCAATGGTATTTAAGAAAGGAGTATGGTAAAATGGGGTGTTCACCTTGAAGTCTTATCGTCCCTTCGGCCTTGCCAAGCAGATTCTCGGCCGAGCAGGTGTAGTTACCGAAGTCGTTTCTGCTCAATCTCTTGATAGTTAGATTTAATTGATATGCATAATCGTTCAACGGTAGCTCCGATAGATCGTGTTTCTCATCCGGCAATAACTTTATACCTGCAACATCCGCGACATCGTAGTGTGAATAATAGTTCGCGTTAATACGCAGCGCAACGATTTACACCGGGCTCGTCGCGCGACATTGAGAAACAGCTCTTGCTATTCGATATTGTGCTCGATCCTTACCGTCGTCCCTGTACCATGTATTCAGAGCTTTCGGCGAAGACTCGACGTTGCAATGAAGAACGACGTCGCTGTTAGCAGGTGCCGCTACTAATTGGTTGGAGTCTTTAATCAGTGGTTTAACTGCGGGCGGAGAAAACTATAATTAATCATGTAAGTTTCCACGAGGGGACTTGGTCGTTTCGGGGCGGATTGCACTTACACCTAACGTTGACGTAATATCTTTTGCTGACCGTCGGCGGCACGCCGTTCGACGCTATGCAAAGGTAAGAGCCCATTTCCTGGCGCAGAATGCCCGTTAGATAAAGTTCTTCCCCCTCGTGCACCTTTACTGTGATCAAATATTTCGAGAGCGTGGATTTCAAGCATCCACGACACACAGAAAAATTATTGATATCCGATTGGGGGGTGGGGATCGATAATCGTCGAAAGCAATGTTCCCGTTTTAATAGCGACGTCGGCTCTATTTCACTTATATTTTCTTTTTTTTCTTTTTCTTTTTCTGTTTTTCTTTCTCGTTACGTTTCGTTCGGCGTAATTATCGCGTGAAGCGGGTTTCGGTTGTCGTCCGTCGAAAAGTTTCGAATCGATTTACTTGGTCGTATTAAACCGCTTAAATGTATTCCGCTTTAATATTCACATTTTGATTACGCTCCCGGGTAAAACGCAACACGGAATGACGTGGATGGATCTGCTCATTAAAGGATCTGAAACAATGAGAGAGTACTCTCCCCGTGATACGTTTTAGGGAAGATCGCAGAATCGTTGGCGCGATATAGATACCGAGTGGTACACACTTTCGCGATGCAGTGTACACAGTGAATATTGCAATCGGGTATGCGAATCGATGGGGTCGGCGAAGAGGAAATATATGTAAAGTCAACATCCATCACTCACCGTTAGAAAGGCTAATCGGGTGGCTGATTTTCCACGGAACGCGCGACGGACCCCGAACCAGAGGGCCACGGTTTTTCTCGTCTACGCGCGTCCCTTACAACAAAACGCGTCGGACCTCATTTTCTTAACTCGCAAATCCGGCAATCCTGTTTGTACCTTCCGACTCGTTTCCCTGTCCCCGCGTTCGCGAGCTTTTTCGATTCGAGCCGACCGAGCAGAATGATTTCGTCGCAATTTGCACGACGAAAGAAGAAAAATCGTCGCCACTTGGCCCGGGCAATGATTTATTTAAATTAGAATGGTCGATTTATGCATCGTTTCACGGCGATGCACACGGCTCCAACGGACAACCAAAACGGATTTATTATCCCGATATTGCATAATATCGCCGATTGCGGACCGAATAAAAACAGTCCCCGCGAAAATTTGCTGAGCAAGTTTCACCAGATTTTCGCGTCGCGTTTTCTTATACGTTCATTCATTAGCTCTGCAAATTCAATCCCTTACTGTTTAATTTGAGCATTAATCGACCTGTGTAATTTCAAAACTGGCTATGTCCGTCTTAGAGAATTTCAATAAGAATTTATATTACGCTATAAAATTTTTAAATTAATTAACACTAGAACTACCGACAATTATAGTGTGTTTATTTGTATCAAGAAATGAAGAAATGTATAATGCAATGGGAAAGAAAATTACGATTTTCCAAAAATTCTGTCGAGTAAATTTTTTACAGGTTTTATTAGAAATTACGAATGGGTCATTTTGAGTGGTTTGGTACTTCTAGTGTTAAGATAATAATTGTAAATTATTGGACATATGATAATGGCCCTTAACCCTTTAACGCTCATATTTCTCGAGTTAACCAAGAATGATTTTCTTTATTGGATTTTGTTAATTGCAATGTTGTGTTCGACGTATAATTCGAAGAAAAACAAATATTATCATCCCTTGAACAATTAGATTAAAGAAATATCGGTTCAAAGCAGTCAGGGGATGAGCGTTAAGGGGTTAAATATGACCAGTTTTAATAATGAAGCTTATTACTTGGACATAACCAGATTTGCTATTGATCGGTAATTGTGGAACAATGTTATAAATTAATTAACGAGAATTAATTACAAAATGAAATTTTTAATCGACAAAAAGAATTCTTCACAATTAATCGATAAAACAAAAAGTAGTCAACAAATTATAACAAATTAACGAATGATTAAATGTATAAACAAAAACTTAAACAATAGTTTAGTATTGTTACACAGTGAAATCTTCCTTCTGATTGTTTCCCTTGAAAATCACCATGTTTGAAGCTTGAGCATCGATTACTTTTTTAGAATATAGTAAGCCATTACTATTTCGCTAGTCATCGCCATAATGTTCAGAAATTTGATTTCCAAGACACACTGATAAGCCTTTCCAAAAATTATAAACCTGGATTAATGAGCTAAGTACCAAAGGGGTTAAATGCAAAAATTGGAAAAATTGTGATTTTTCTGTAATTAACAAGCATTGTGTTTCTTTAGAACGAAGTTGAATACTCTAAACTGTTTTGCAAGAGCTATTTTTCATTTCTCGAAGAGATTTCTCATAATAAGGATACAACCGTGTTATTTATCTTTATTTTTCCATTAATTTATGGAATCTTTGACACGATAGAGATCAAGTTTCTAGTAACTGGACACAGTCTGTGATGGAGATTTACGTTGGCACAGAAAAGGAAAAGACTTATGAGAGCCTTTGTAACGAAGGATTTGCACAAAGATATCACATTAGCTAGATTGAATCTCTCATTTGAGGCAGTGGACATGGAAATAATGAGATTTTCGGATTTAAAGAGCATTGCGGACGGGCATTGCATACGTCCAAGCTAAGTATAACTGAAACGGTAATTGTATGAATAGAAAAAACGTTCGGATTTTCAAACTTGAATTTTTCTTTCTCTTTCGATGTTGAATTGTACGAAGGATTAAGATCCTGCAAGTTGCTTCATTCGCACGATATTTCTGTACATCTGGCGACCACGTGCACTTCTAGCGCATTATTCCCTCGTTCGCCAATGGAAATTGGCGTTATATTAAACCCAGTTTTTAATTTTGATTGAAAAAAAATTGTTCAAAATATTCAATCTTCAAATTCACGGTGATTTTAGTTGCTTCGAAAAATTGTTAAACGTTTGAATTTTGGAACATTTCTTAAAGTAAAATCATCTTAATACTTATGACTGGCAGTGTGCGTAGAACATTTGTTTATAGACATTTATTAGTTTATATTGTATATTGTTGTTCGCAAATACGTCTCTCTATTTGCTAAATAAATCGATGAACACTGTGGGAGCCAACAAAAGGGAGTATTGGAAGTTCATTACTATTCTGAAAATGAGAAAAAAAGACATCGTAACATAAGAGAAACTTTCATAAAATAATCGAAAGCAGAAAGAAATCGTAAGCGATGCTATTCTTGATGGAATACGGCAACAATGAATATTATTGTAAAAGCAACCTAGATTTAACAGCTCTATCGGAGAAAGAAAAATTAATTAGAGATTAAAATTCACAGATCTACGAAGCGACCAAAATAGACTAATCGAGAAATTGAAAACGAAGCTTTTTAAAAATTGATAAGACCAAGATTAGTGAACGTGACTTTCCAGCAACCCATTTCGGTTAAACAGATTTTCCACTCCAAATTGACCTTTTTCCAGATCGTATCCACCTTACGAAACCATCCTAATAGGGATAAAATCCTGTGCAAAGATGTCATAAAATGGGGTAAAATTAATATACTCGGTCGATGCTAAAAGTAAAGTCGCAAAAAATGACATGTTATTTTACGTTTTTAATTTCGATTTGCAAAAGGTCGAATACGATCGGGAAAAGTGTTAGTTCGAAGCGAAAAGTCAGTGGTACCTCGTTTGACGCCGTGCTCGGTCCGAAGGCTAATATTTCGGCCATCTTCTCGCCGCCAGGTGACCGTCGGCGTTGGTGCCCCGGTGGCCTGACACCGTAATCGCAGATCGCTGTACTCTTTGGCCGTTAGGAGATCGGCGGAGTCGTCCAAATCCATTATATCGGGCGGTATCACTACCTTCATGTAGCCCGTCTGTGAAAAGATCGTTACCAGCCGCACATATAGTACCATTTATCTGCCGGCGTAAAAGATCCGACCGCGGTCCAACCTGCACCCCTCGAACATTTAAATCAAGCTTAACTCGCGGATTCAAACCTCAACAAATGTGATTGCTCAACGGAGACTTGCCTTTAATCTGGGTTTTACCGGCGGAAAAAATACAAACCGCGCCAATCGTAACGATAGCGCAAAAAAATAAAAAAAACCCCGCCGCCAAACGGGAACACAAATAATCTCCTCCTTTCTCCCATTATTTCCCGCGTAATTTCGTATTCGATTTAAACGATATTATCTGGGCTGCCTTCGATAATAATATTTTCGCCGTGTCAACAACGTTATAGCCAATCAACGGCAAAGCGATGCCATATTTTAACGCGCCTCGTTTCGTTCGCGTCGTTTCGCTATTTAATATCAACACTTGGCCGACCGGGGGCATGCCTGGATCCATATTTTGCGTATTGAACAAATGCACATGGCCGTTACGTGATATCTTGCGACGTTCTTAAAAAAAATTTAATTCTCACGATAAAGAAACGCCCAACGATGCAACAACCGGAGGGGTTTTAGTATTATAAAATAAGGATATTTTGGCTCCCGTCGACCGAGCGTTCTAATTGCCCAGAGTATCATCGTCGTGAACAGAGTTTACGGACCGTCGTAAGCGTATGGTACGTTTAAGTTGGCAGCTCGTACGAACCTGGCTCTTCATAGGTTCCGTATTAACTTGACACATGTACGTGCCAGAGTCGTTCGGTTGAACGTTGGTCACGTGCAGTTTCCACGTGTTATGTCCGTTATGAGTGACAGACAGCCGTGGGTTGTGTGCGACCATGTGTGTATGAATGGCCAGAATGGCTTTGGAGTCCGACTTTATCCAGGCAACCTGCATAATACAATCAGGAACATGGACGTTCCGCCGTTTCAGCAGCTGATTATAAACTCGGGCCCGCATTACTTACACTATCGGCCGATAATAACGGTTTTAGAATTACGGATTTTGGGTTTAGTTCGTTACGGACGATGCCTCCTACCATTCTGTCCGGAACACGCTCCGTTCCCAACAATGGCGGAGCCGCCAGCGTGCATCGAGACGTAGAGCGCAACGGGAATGTCTTTTCCCCCGTTCGAAGGTCTCGTGACTGCGTTACGATCTAGCCACGGTTACCGGAGTCTTTTTTTTTTACTATTTATCGAATGTTTTTAGCGCCTTGGTTACTTTACTGATTAGCAGTTAAACCTCTCCCTTTTAGAACGCCCTTGGTTAAACTACCCTTCCTGTTGCACTCCGGGCCACGAGGCATCGTGATCGTTACAGGCTAAGTGGACGGAATAAATTTAAACGTTTCTTTCGACGAGTCTTCGCAGGACTACGGGAATCGCGGGATATCGATATTTTATTCGACACGTTAAAAATAATCGATTCTGGATGAAGATTTTTTTGAAACTTGACGTACACTCGCCGCGGAAAGTATGTTGACACGTTTCAAACTCTTTTGCTTTGGACTTTCCTCGGTTGTAAACAAAACACGTAAGGTTTCTATTCCTCAGAATGCTTTTTTAAACAGTTTATATTCGTCCTTAACTTGGAATACAAGTATTTATTATTAAAGTGTTCTTTAGTGCTGCGCGGAAAGTAAATTGACAGATATTTTCGGTTGTATTTTACTCTAATTTGTTCAAAGTTTAGAACTCAAATTACATTTCTCGTATCCTTCAACGTTAATTGTAGTGTTTTATAGTTACATTTTATCATTTTCAAGGTAATATTATTTCAAAATGCCAAAAATTCGGGAACTCACACCATCTGAGAAATCACAAATGTTTAATAGGCGAATGAAAGGAGATTCGCTTCGAGAAATCGCATCAGATTTTTGTATCTCTGCAGAAGGTGTCGGACAAATAGTAAATCGTCTGGAAAAGAATGGTACTGCAGAAAATCTTCCAAAATCGGGACGTCCGTGGAAGACCACAATCAAACAGGATCGCAGAATAGGAAGAGAGGTGCTTAAGAATCATTTCATATCCGCCAGACAATTAAATTCTGAAATGTGTGTCCCTATACAAGAGACACAAGTTCGTATGCGAATAAAAGAAGCATCTGCTAAACAATATGCGAATAAAACGATAGACTTCTGGAAAAACGTCATATTCAGTGACGAGTCAAAATTTGAACATCGTTCGAATAAGAGAAGAAAGTTTGTATGGAGAGAAGTGAGCGAAAGTTTCAAACCCTCAATAATTATTCCAACCGTTAAGCATGGAGGTGGGTCGGTGTTAGAATGGCGCTGTTTTTCACTGGCTGGTGTAGGCAATTTACATTTTATAAAAGGTACACTAACAGGAGAGGGATATGTGAACATTTTGCAGCAAAATTTGGTACAATCAGCTGAAAACATGAACATCAAAGACTCATTCATTCTACAACAGGATAACGATCCTCAACGTACAAGTAAAGTTGCAAAGAAATATTTTAATGAAAGTAATATTAATTTACCATTAATTGACCATTTGAACAGAAACGTAGACGAATACTGCAGAAATAATAAAATCTTGTTCCAGAGGGCATTATCAAAAGCGTGGTTTAAAATAGACCAACATACAATTGATAAATTAATAGAAAGTATGCCAAGAAGACTTCAGGAAGTTATAAACAATCGAGGATATCAAGCTTCATATTAAGTCCATACTTTCAGTTATTTCAAATTTTATTTTTTTACAAAATTACTTGTTGTCAACATACTTTCCACGGATGGCTAATATAAATGTCATATTGTTTCGTATCGATTTCTCGCGTAACTTTCTTAGGGGTCCTCAGGAAAGGGGGATCGAAGCATGGATCCGGGGAAAGCGTTTCGGTGGCTGTGACTTTTGACCGATAGTAGATATTGATTCGAGACCCACGAGCAGACAAATCATGAAAAATCAAGCTTCTGAAAGGTATATTTTGATCACACTCGCATTATTCGTCGTCCGTGTCTTCGCGTATCGATCTTAGACGCGAAAGATGCTCGTTGAAAAATTCAAATGTAGTTTACGGCGTCGGGGAAACTGCCCTGTCTCTTAATGAAATCGTGAATTTAATCGACGAACCTTCGTGATTGCAATATTCAGGACAAATCGAAATCACGATATAACTTTTTTACAACTTTAATAACACGGAAATAAGAGGAACTGGACACAGCTCGAGGAAAATGAATTCCCCGATACGATTAACCGTTCGTTCTAATTCTAAATACAAACTCGAAATGTATTCGATGCACTTGTGATATGGATTGTCTCCGAAACGTCGCTGATAGTAATCGATTAAAATAAATAATACCGACGGACATCTTCCCGGGAGTACGAATTTAAAATTCAGCGTATTATTCTGCTCGACTATATCCCATTTGTGCATTAAAGAAGGCTTTACTTTTCTCGGTGCTGGATGTACGTAACAGATGAACCTAAATTATCCGCATATACATACGCGTATCGTGCATTCCCGTGACATACGAGTGCAAGTTGTTCCCTACGCGAACGTAAAATCCTCTCCATGACTTCCCTTTATCCCTGTATATACATGAATTCCAACGTAAGTATCTCTGTTAAGGGGTGTAGCGTAAATATTACACCGTAATAGGGGAAAAGAACCGAGCGAAACGAATAGTCTCTATCAGTGCCTTGATTCGACAGCGGAATAATAAACGTCGCGTTGAAAATAAAAATGAAAAATGTACCGTACGTTAAAAAATAAATTTAACGGTACTTACAAGCGGACTTAATGGTTAATCCCATCGTGTTATTCATTTTCCTCTTTTAATACGCTTCAGTTTACTTTGTCACGAGCATGGAAATCCAAAACAAAAATGTAATTAAAAAATTTAAAGCTACCAGAAATAATTTGACTTTACGTACATACGTATCGTGCGATACGTTGATCGATTATAATAAAAAAATAGCTTGTTTCTCTTACAGTATAATCCACAAATCGTAATAACGGTATCAATTTTCCGAAACCGTTGCGTATCGAAATACGATGTGCACAAAGGTTTTCGTTATTTTATCGAACCAAAAGGGAAGCAACAAACGTTTCGACGCGGATGCATTCCTTTCTCAGCGACGATCGATCCGCAAAACGACTATCAATCCGGGCGTGTTCGTACGCGAAAAACGCGGCTCGGCCTGTGAACGGACGTCGATCCGCGATCTAGAGATCGTGGGTTCCTCATTACCACAAATCTGAGAAATTCTCTTCGAAGCACCGGCTGAAATGCAATTATTTACTTGAGGTTCTAGGCACAAGTCACTGAACACTGTTATTGGATTCCGGGATTCAAATTCCGATCGGGTTCGTAGCTCTGATTGGTCTCGTTTGCGCGAACATACTTCCTGCGTGCTCGATCTGTCGTATTTCAAACGATGGTTCTATTGAACGACTGAAAGGGCTTTTAAATCGCGAACAAAAGCCGGGTTTTGATCCACCGGCAATAGAATTTAAGGTGTGCATAAATAACGGCTGATGGACTGCTACCCCGGCGTTCTAGCCGACGGTATAATTCTACCTGTTGGCGGATAAATTTTTTACGCAAACAATCAGCATCGAGTTCTTGCGCAACGTCCCGGACACCTGTTATATCTCTCACGTTAGATCACGCTGAATCGACGCGTCGCTACGGGTATTCGAAACGAACGGGGCCCGGTCGATGCCAGCGATCGTTTAAAATAATTACTGTCGACGAATCGCGTCGCCACGGCGCGAATTTCGCGAAATTTTTACACCGCGAAACGCTCGTCGGGAGGGGAGGAGGGGGAAAAATTGCACACCGTATAATGGAGTCTTGACACCGGGGATCAGGAATATTGAAATTCTTCTTAAACCACCGGTATCCGATACGAAAGATTTATCTTTCAACGACGTGAATAATTGCTCGCATAGTTTCGCGCTGTACAGGGCGATTCACCTAAATTACTCGTAAACTGATCGTTACGTGAAATACGTTTGACATCGAAGTCATTTTTAGGAATTGAGAATCAAAATTTATGAATTTCGAATAATCGAAAATGATGTCCCAACGCACTCTGCGATAAAAATTCCTGAACATTTATGTCAGATTTTTTTCTGACGAAATTTTATGTTTTAAAATTCTTTGGAGAACGTGACTTATGTCGTTTTGCCTTGCAACCGCGGGTATTACGATTCGAAAAGTTTTCATGGCAATAAAGCGCGGATATAAAGCTGTACGTTTAATTACATTTCGATTCTGACGAGGCGTTTGTTCTGTATCTCAATTTTCATCGTGTACGGGGAATCCCCCCGGTAGTCGCGCGGCCATAGTAAAGTTTATTCTACACGACGAAACAAAAGTGTCGCGAGTGCAGCATTTTTGTTTACATATTGTAAATAACTGTTATGTGCCGCCACATTATGTACCTTTTTCAAACACTTTTATCCGTACACACAGCTGCTTCGGGATGAAATATGGTAGGATGTTAGAGTGCTTATATACCCCGCGTATTGGGGTAATATGAGCAACCGTGTAGAAAATATGGGTTAATATGGATTTAATTGTATTTTATTGGAAATCTAATGCGAAACAAGTTCAACTGTTATTAAAAATTTAATTGCAACTGCTTTTGTAACAATTCTGATGAAATCTATTAGAGAGTATACTCGATAAAACTGATATTGCTGTCCTAATATTTATACAGGGTGTTAAAAAAAATCCATTAAATATACACTGTACTGAGCAAAAAATCTTTAGCAAACATAGGTCGAAAAGTCAACCGTTTTTGGGATATAAACATTTTTGTTTGCTAATATCATGGTTGACTTAGTTGATTGTTTCAACTTCTTGGTGAATACATTACCTCAGTACTTGGATGATATGCCTTTGGCAGAAAGATTATCGATGTGGTACATGCATGATGGGGTGTCACCTCATTTTGTGCGTAATCTGAAAGACCATTTAAACATGGAGTTCGAACAAAGGTGGATTGGACCAAAAAGTTGAGGACCTTGATCCCCCGATTTAAACCCTTTGGAATTCTTTTTATGGGGACACTTAAAAAGCCTAGTGTATTCCTCGCCGATAAATGACTTAGAAGAATTACGTAATCGAATCCACCATTCTTGTCAAGCAATTCGACAGAAATCTGGAATTTTCGCGACTCTGTAAAAAGAAGATGCCAAGCGTGTGTAGAAATGGAAGGTGGACACATGGAAAATCTTCTGCAAGCATCGAAAATTCAGTACTAAGTCAATTATGGTAATAACAAACAAAAATGTTTATATCTCAGAAACGGTTGACCTTTTGACCTATGTTTAATGAAGCTTTTTTACCCAGTACAATGTATCCTATATACCCTATAAATATTGAATGGTTTTTTTTAACACCCTGTATATATCTTTATTGCCACAAAAATCTTTTGAATCGACTAGCTGACCAACGATGGCTCAGAACATCTGTGCTGCTTATTTGTCATGCAACGTCCATGATATTAAATATAAAGGTGTTTGATCGTTTCCCAGGGGGAAATATAGTGGAAATGGAGGGAAAATCGCGGGAAGAGAAAGAACGGTTCTCTTGGACCAGCGAAAATCAGGCCCATTCATGTTGTACTCTATATTAGCGTGTCTGATTTATGTCCTTTCTTTCGAGCTTCCTTTCTTTTCCCGGATACCACCCTCCTCGAAGTAACATTCGGTTCTCTATGCCGCTACTTTTTCCACTTCTTCTTCTTCTTCTTCTTCCACTACTACTTTTCTTCTTCTACCACTCTTTCGTCCCTTTCCATTCTTTAAATCCAGGAGGACGAAAATCCTCTGAACACGCGCCAAGAACGTTTCATCTCGCGATAGAAGCGATTGTCGATTCGAGCGCGCAATCAAACTTGGACTTCTTCTCGAAAGTGAATTACTCGGGCGGGTCTGTCCCACAAGGGGCTCTGGACAGAACTGGGTGTGGACCGATGGAAGCGCACACGTACGTACTTTATCATTATCGGCGCACGGTCCGGCGCTACGCCGTGTACGTGATTTGCGTGTTTGCGTGCCGCTATTTGGACCAATGATTCCACTTGGCATTGTTTTAAGCTGATATCTGCGTTCTGTTGAAATGCCTCGTGAATATAGGAACGATTCCGACTTACATTGACCCGTATACGGCGCGCTCCCGACACAGGTAGCGGGAACTTTAGCCGGCGTATTCATCGCGCGAGTGAAAATTAATTCTCGAAATACCACCCCGACGAATTATAACCGATTTTTCTTCGGGGACAAATTATTTCCTTTGACAACGGTATCAATAAATTCTATAACGACGCGTGTGTTTGCGCATCTTCACGAACAATTTTACTGCACAAATGGATGGTCTCATCAAAGGGGGCTTGTATCAGCGAAACGTTGATTTAATCAAACCGAGAGCAAACGAATTTTCCAAGGAGATAACGTCCCGGAACGTCAAAGTCGGATCTGCGCCGAATGGAACATGGAAAAATCACGAACTTGAGGGTGAACGTAGGTCGCTACCTGTATCGTGCGCCGAAAAATTAATAGAAAGCAGAGATTAGACTTTGTTAAAGAACGGTGGAAGTAAACTGGAATTATGTAAAGTTTTTAGCAAAATGGACTCGCGTTACCAGAGATATCGCCGACACGCTCTTGCGGGACAGACCGTATAACCGATCGGACGTGCTCGCGAGTCGTGTTGACTATTTCCTGAAATACGATTCAGGCCGCTACTTACAATTTCGTACCGTGCCCTTAATCGACTTACTAATTACACCGACGTGTGGATGCAATTACCTTGTAAGATTGAAGATGATTAACGACGCAGGTGAAGGAGACGTCGCGACCTTGAATGACCGTATGGTTCTCCAGGAGTGCTAGAAATTCTGGCTGGAGCTCGGACTTCGGCATCGCTTGACCTAGGTCGGCATAATTAACGATCGTGTAATTAACGAGCCGGCAACTTTACGTCTAATTAGCTTAGGTATACGCTCCCGGGAACAACGGTTGCAACGTTCACCGTGAGGTTTAGAGAGATATTGCCCTTAAATCCACGTTCCTCCATCGGGGAAACGTTCTCGCCTCTGTTCATCTCCGTTCGATATTGATTTCTCTTAATCTTTACATCTCTTTTACCGACTGGCTTAATCTAGTTCGTCATGCATATCGCTCCTATATAGATTCATAGCAACTGTACGCGGGCAAAGTTATGGGGGCAATAATTCTTTTTCCGCCGGGCTATTCAGCTTCGTTTCTCCTCCTCGTCGGCGCGCTTTTTGTCGCGTGGCACGTGGACCGTTGGGGGGACGCTGAATGGGAAAGAAAGAAACAAAAAAAAAAGAGACAGGCTCTCTGGTAACCCGGGGGTGTGTGTTTATTAACCGTATCAACGTCCCGGGTGACGCGAACTTCGACACCTTATTAAATAATAACCAACCGGTACGATCCGACGCTGAGGGGGGAACGAAATAAATTCGCAACGAGAAACGAACGAGACCAGAAATCAAGAGTCGAATTCTACTTTGCTTTCGTTTCTTTTTATTTATTTTTTTTTCTGTTTCCCTTTTCGTCTTGTTCGCGGGTGAGAACAGTTGTAACATTTAGCCGTGCAGTTTTGTAATTTCTACCTCGCCTACTTCACGGGAATGCTTTTACGGGGAAGCTCGAGACTCCCGATAGTGCTTTTAGAGGCATTTTATTTGATTCTTACCGAAAAGTGGAGCAAAGAAAACGCAACGGGGAGAAAAAGTACGCCGCGATGCTATTACGGATACAACGCCGGGGATTCGTTCGCATCATTTTGTAGGGATTAAAAACTTGTAACTTTGGCTCCGTATTCTGGCCAATTCAAACTTGTTTCCACCCTTCTCTTGCTATTTCTCTTTCACCCCCCTCTCCCTCCCCGCTCGGGGAATCGGTTGAAGGGTACTTGCGGCTCTGGAAGGAAATATCATTTGACTCTTACCGAAACTTGAATAGAGGAACGCGGCGAGGAAGAAGCAAAGAACAATGTCCCGCGATGCCATACCATTGAGTAGGCCATACGCCATACGTACTGAAACAGAAAGTATAGTTTGGAACTTACATCGGCACGAAACTTCCAATTTCACGTGGACATCGATAAATATTTGCACGTGTGTAAAATTTTCTCTCAGAATAACACATTGATTGGCCTTAAACTGTTAGTAACATCATTTGTTTTTAAAAAAGATACTTGAACAAACAATACATATTGCATTAATTAATGTATAGAAGAGAGGTATGATACATGTGCAATAAAACCATTCGTGAAGATCTGCTTCAGGGATCGATAAAGGTATTATTCAAGGTGATAACCACCGACGTTTAGGATCGTTGTACAAAACCCACTTTTTCTAGCTATCGCGACCACCCGATCGAGAAATCGACGACTGTTTTTCACTGTCTCGCCGCGAAGTGCAAATGTTCATTTGTTGGATACACCGATAGGCCACGCGGAATCCATTTTTCAACTATTACTATTCAATACTACCATTTAATATATCTTCTTCGATCGGACATCGCGAGAAAAATTAGAAACACGTCGAAATTTCGAAAATCGTTTTTAACACTTTTTCACATTTAAAACTCGTTCGTTTCTATATCTCACAAATATTTGCGACCGTATGTGTAGCTGTAAAATTCATATAGCACGCAATACCGCAAATGGTTTTTGCTGACACTCGCTTTACAACGTTTTATCGAATGGAAAATATCGATCTAGCTGTCTCGAACGCACACGTAGACTGTCGAGATGATACTCTTTAAGATATATGTACAGGGAGATGTTTCTATTGAGTTGTACAATAAATCCGTTTACGTTTCTTTATAATATTAAATACTGTCAATTTTATGTAGAGTTCACTTGATATATGAGTAAAGTTCTGTGATCTTTTGCCATTTTTTATTTATTAAAACATCCGGATAAGTGTATATTTAAATAAAAATTTTATAAATAAAAATTAGATGAACCCTAAGCAAGCTGTAATAATTTTTGTTCCGTCGTTAAACATATATTGGGGTTCCACGTTATAGCGGTGGAAACCAGTTACTTTTCTAAATATGAGCGATGACCATTTCTTTCGTACGGTTACTTTCAATTTATCCAATTGCGAACAGTGTCTTTTGCTATTTATTGTCTGGTTATGCAGTGGAAGTTTATAATACAGTATTAAAGTACCGCCGTCGACGCGAACGGAGTTATTATACAACTTAATATAAACATATCGCCTAGGAAGACGCGGACGTTTATATGAAGTAAGACAATGGACGACATTACTTATAAGATGATCATTATAATTGGATAGCTGCAAATGATTTCTATAAATTTCGATGGAACCATGTTAACTCATAGGGTGCCCAGTAACTCGTGCAGTCGAAAAGGGGTTGATTCTTCGCCTAAAAATACGTTAAAATATGGATTAAAATGATCAATTTTGCATACTCGATCGAACACACCTCGCATGCACCAGATAAAAACAGAATTCACAAATTACTTTCTGCATTGATTTAAAAAAAAAATTTATGGCATTAGGATCATCCCCATCGACGAAAAGAATTTTATTTTTATTTTTCGTTTTGCATATTTTCGAAAATGTTAAATCCATCTGGAAATGTTTAAATAAGTAGCGTACCTATGTCGCCTAAATATGACCAGAGTTCTAAGAACAGAGACAAAATTTGGCATGTCGAACAGCATGATCTATCGTACAGTGACGTGATGGATGTCTACCCGAAACGTCCAACGCACGTACATCCAATGGAATTGGAAATCCAATTTTTCATAATCGAAATAACCCGCGGAAGAATTTTCATATCGTATTTTCGACTTATTTTTGGACGCGAGATCGCACGGTTTTCGATTCTACACCCGAGTTACTGGATACGTTGTATAATCGATATCTGACTTCTCTTTGTCCCGCCAAACCGGAATAGGAACGAGTTAGAGTACCGATGAATGTTGAAAAACGAACGAAATCTACGGTTTATTTTTGAGCAGGAAACCATTCTCTTTTCATTTCTATCACGAATTATTTGGCAACGTGAATAATAATTTTCCAACTTCTTACTCCACCGTTTCAGGACGTAACTGACGTCGTCGGTGGATAGACCAGAAGGGGTTGTTAGTTTCCAGTTGCTTTGAAATGAGAAATCATCCCATATTCGGTTGTGCAGCTACTGAACATTCTGTATAATACATTTTTAACTTCCTATTCCCCTGATTCAGGATTTAATCGACGTCGTCAGTAGATAGACCAAAAGGGGTTGTAGTTTCCAGGTTGCTTTGAAATGAGAAATCATCCCCTATTCGGTTGTGCAGCTACTGGATATTCTGTATAATACATTTTTAACATCCTATTCCACCGATTCAGGACGTCACTGACATCGTCAGTGCATAGACCGAAAGGGGTTGCAATTTCTACATGCTTTGGAACGAGAAATCATCCCCTTTCGATTGGACAGGTACTGGACCTCCTGTATAATCCATTTGTAACTTCTTATTCCACCGATTCAGAATGTAACCGACGTCGTCAGTGGATGGATCGAAGGGGGTTGGATTTTTCAATTGCTTTGGGACGAGAAATCATCTCCTTTCGATTGGACAGGTACTGGACACCCTGTATAATACATTTGTAACTTCTTATCCCACCCATTCAGGATGTAACCGATGTCGTCGGTGGATGGATCGAAGGGGGTTGGATTTTTCAGTTGCTTTGGGACGAGAAATCATCCCCTTTCGATTGGACAGGTACTGAACACCCTATATAATACATTTTTAACTTCTTACTCCACCTATTCAGGATGTAAACGTGGTCGTCGATGGATGGATCGAAAGGGGTTGGATTTTTTAGTTGCTCTGGGACGAGAAATCATCCCCTTTCGATTGGACAGGTATTGGACACCCTATATAATAAATTTTTAACTTCTTATTCCATCGATTCAGGATGTAACCGACGTTGTCGATGGATGGATCGAAAGGGGTTGGATTTTTCAGTTGCTCTGGAAAGAGAAATCATCCCCTTTCGATTTTACACGTACTGGACACCCTGTATAATCCATTTGTAACTTCTTATTCCACCGATTCAGAATGTAAACGTCGTCGTCGATGGATGGATCGAAGGGAGTTGGATTTTTCAGTTGCTCTGGGACGAGAAATCATCCCCTTTTCGATCGCGGCTGGACACCGTATATAATACGTTTCTGGGTCCTCCTTGTTTCATCGAACGAGGGTGGAAACGAGAGTAGGTGCGCGAAAAAAAAGGCGGATATGTCGAGATAGGTAATCTAGAGGGGAAAAGCCCGAAGTCGAGGATTTCACGACGTCGTCTACGGACGCAGCCCCCGGAGAAGGGGTCAACCTGAATCGCGTGAATATTAACTCGACAGTTGGTCGCCACATAAACGCCAACCGTTGATATATCCCAGCCTCACTCTTCCCTCCCCGTAGCCAGCACCGCAATAATACTCGAATAGTGGGTGCCTCCTCCTGGCTCTGCTCTTCCCTTTTCAGCTCCTACCTACCCTTCGCCGAGTATCCTCGATGGCGCCCCACTCCTGGAGGCCGCGCGGTACGCACACTCGCGATCCGCGCGACACAAGCGCGCGTGGCCAACGTTTGCACGTACAGGCCGGTCCAAATGAAAATTTTGCCCGTACCGAAGTCTGGCCCTTTATGACTTCGGGCTGCGTTCTCTTTGCATTGCCGAAAATTGCGCCGTGGCTGACGTATTTAACTTAAATAACCTCTGACCGACGTCGGGCGGAGGGGGGTGGAAAGCCACGCGAGAACGTACGGCTACGAGCTCGCGTATTTGTCGGCGTGTAAGCAACGTTGATCTCCTTTTACATCCCCGAAAGGCGGAACGCGAATTATATACGAGCATCGAGTATCGCGGGCAGTGAAATGTCGAGGAATTATTTAGAAAAGGGGGAAGTCTGGTTCCTATCATTGTGTAACCCTTTGAGAAGATGTGGTAAATCTTCATTTTGATCAACTATGTAAGGTTCCCCAAATGAGCACTATCTTTTGTAGTTTTCATTTTATCTCGCTTGAAAGTTCCATGGCTATTCGTGCCACGCGAAACCCCTTATCTACTGTTTGTATAAACAACTCGTTGGCTGGTGACAAATGTACACGTCGTGTAAAATGAACCAACTAAACGTATGTGTTGAATTCGAGCACCTTTCCACTTTGATCTCGCTAGCGAGCACATTGTGTATTAGATATTTAGTTCTGATGTCGTTTGAACCCTCCCTTGAATTTTGTGTTGATCGACGGAGCTAATGGGGAACGTTTTAGGATTTTATTCATATTCCCCCTCCGTTTGAATAATGTTTAAGACTTTTTAAATATGATTGCAAGCTGTTGGTGGAATCCGGAGGGTCGAGTAGCCGAATCATATTTTCGCTGACAGTTTCCTCGGGTTCTTACGCTGGGCGTTTCACTGTATGGGGATGGTCCGTTGTCCGGTTGGAAGAGGACCTTTTGTTTCCATCGCTGATATCAGTCGATCCGGTCGGTTACAATAGACTTTTGTGGTGATTCGTTTGGGGTCAGACTGCCTAAAATATATAACACCTTGCATATTTCATAATACACGGTAGATCCTCTTTGATTTAAATATATTCGATCACTGTCTCTTAAAATATTCCAGTCTGACCAACCTTCAAAAAAACTCTCGACTCGGGAATTGCGAAAATGCAAGTTAAAGTTTAATGGTGTTTTTTTTATTTCCATTGACGCAACGTTATTAGGTTTCTACACACATTTGGAAGGATTTAATCTCATTTTATTTCCAACGTATCGCTGGTTAAATTTAAAAAGAACGGATTCCAATCGTCATGATTTAATATCCTCGTGAATTAAATCGTCATTAATAATTATTGAATTTGAGAATAGTATCGGCGGCTTTAATTGCAGTAGAACCTTCATTATACGAATCTCCATTATCGAATGTTCAACCATCCGGATGCTCTAAAATTCGAACATTCTATTATCCAATCGGAGTATCCTCTCACAGGATATCGTTTTTCTTATTGAAACATTTTTCAAAAAATAACGAAAATATCCCGGTAATACTTTTGCACAATTTTATGCGTATCGATAGAATAGAGCTAGCATTTGTCGAAACTGGTACGCGAATGAGATAATTTCGTCTGAAACGTTGAAAATAATTGCTGTACGCGCGCAGTTTGTTAAATAATTGGACCGAACGCGATGTTGCGAAAAATAAAACTATGGTTGCATCGGTATAAATCTACTTTTTTACGCGAGATATGTACTCGATATAACGTTGGGAGAGATCGAGTAACCAAGGGAACGATATTTTTGGTGCTCCGATTTCTACATTCCCTCTTTGATTAATTCTCCATCATCGTGTCAGATTCCCTCTATGAGCATTTTCGGTTACAAAAACAGAAAATAATCTCTTCGGTACCTATCAAATCCGATAAACTTGTTCCCGACGTTTTCACAACGTTCCAACGAACCGAGCGCGGATCCTCAGTTCGCCTAAAATTATACTTTAAAACATCGCAAATCGGATCTCCGCTAACACAAAATGCTTCTGCCATCGTTCGCGGTGTCAGGATCGAATCGATCGCGATAAGTTCACGCCTTTCTCCACGAGTTCATCACTGTTCGTCGGCTTCGAACGACCTGACCGTTCGTCGTCTCTCGAATCCTCCCCGGGCGTCTTTAAAGCGCTTATACCACTCAAATACTTCTGTATCGGACATACAATTATCACTGTAAACTTTCCTTAGCGTTTCGAGCGTTTGGGTGACCACTTTCGCAACTTTAAAATAGAATTTAATATTTGTTTTCCGCTCTCGTGACAAGATTCACCAAAACGCTGCCGCTGAAGTGTCCATAACTTTTAACAAGAAATTCTAACAATCGATACTTCGAACGTAAGACCTTCGAAGAAAATTATGCTAAATAAACGTAAGACGATATTGGTTAAAATGAAAGCGTGGACGACACGCAATGGTGGATAATTTTAGACTGATTTCGAATGCGATCATTTTCAAAATGGACTTAAATGGAACCTGTTAGCCGGAGTGTTTCAATTCGAACAAGTATCGCGGAGAAAGCAAGGGGATAGTTTTAAATAATTCAGGAAGATTAAAATAAACTGACTTTTATTTAGAATTCAGCTGCACACCAAATAAATCGTCTCCCTCGCCACTACGGTAGCTTTGATCTGTACCAGATTGAATAAAATATAAGTTATGAAATGTTTTGATTTGAAAAAGACAAAATTGTGTTTTATTAGAATTTTACTATTTGATGGTCTTCTAGAATTAGAGCCATTTCTCTATTCCGATGATTTTTAGCCACAGAGTTTAGGCAATTTAATTAAAAATCCTTCCAAACAATGCTCGATACCTTATTTTATAAGAGGCCAATCTTCCGTCGCTTTCTCGAATAATCAATTGCACGAATTGTTGGAAGAACTTCCATTAGATGTTGTATGTCACATATGATTTATGCACGCTGGTGCTCGGCACATTTCAGCCGAGTAGCCAGACAGTTCGTGAACGAGCGATTTTCTAACAGATGGATCCGTCGTACAGAACCCGTAATACGGTCTGCTTATTCTACAGATTAAAATTCGTTGAATTTTTATTCGCCAAGTCGCTTAAAAATTTAACAACTCGCTCTGTTGGAATACCCGAGCAACGTCCACGACGAGTCTGTCGAATGGCTGCATTATTTTTTCAATTAGATTTAATATTGCATCGAACAAAAACATCGATTCCAACGACTTCGAAAATAGCTTGTAACGAAAATATCTGAGGCGGAATATACATATGTGCTTTGGCCACGAACAAATTTTTCACTCTGTGCTCCTAATCTGTACCTTGACCCTCACAAGTTGTTGCTTCTGATACGCAGAAATGACTTCTTGAAGAGACTAACTATTGGAGATGTTACTCTATTGAAATTAATCTGCTTCTTCGTTCTGATTTTTCCCATAAGGAAACCTCGGTTTCCCCTGGCAGGGTGACAACGACGATTGCCTACCGGAGGGAGGATTGGTCAAGCCAATCCTCATCGTCGTCACCTTGGCAGGGAGGTTCCTAACAATTT